ATTTTGAGATTATTTCTTCATTCTTTCATTCATATATATATATTGATAAAATTATTAGAAAATATCAATTAATATTCAGAATCGAGATTAACGATTTTTCCGATAAAAAGATATTTCTAATTTCTTTGAATTGATACTGATATTTTTTTATATTTCTTATATATTTATGAAATCAATTATTCTAATTCCTCTTTATGATATTAATAATATTATTTCTATATTGAATCAATATGTTTTACAAATATTTCTACCACTAATAATAATATGATGTATATTTATACCATCATGATTGCTATTATTAATATCTATAAATGGATTTTGAGCAATATATCTTCTATCTCTAACTTCAATTTCATCATTAATTTTCTATCTTTATATTTCTTTTATTCGTCTTTAATTCTCATCGTATATTATATTGCTAATATGATAAAATAGATTGATCATTAAATATAATGAATTCAAATATAATGAATATTGCCGCAGATTCCCAAGAATAATATCAATATTCCCAATCATAGGAGGGCAAGTTCTTCAGAGAAAATAGAAAAAATAATATTCTTATCATTTATTGAATGAAATATCGATAGCTGGAAAAATTTAAGAATTATTGATATTTTTAAATGAATATAATATAATGACTAATATCGATATATATATATATAGAATAATTACAAGCTTTATTAGTCTATTCCGACATTCTATTAGTATCAATATAAAATATGAACCAATACAAGGAATTTATTTCTATAATTCCGAATTATTCAAAATATATAAACGAATTCCAAAATCATTAATATCTTTTATTTTCGATTTTTAAATAAAAAATATCGCAATCTTTCGAATTTCCGAAATCAAATTCATTAAATGATATATATATATTTTTTATAATTTTCTAGATTCAAATTGTCAATTATCATATTATATTGCTGTCATATCTTATTTTCAATATATATAAATATAATTTGTCAAATCTTGATCATAATATTCTATCATAAGACCTCCAGTTCTAATTTCATATGATATATATATATATTAGATAGAAATTAATTTCTTTTTTTTGGAAAAAAATCAGAATCCCTAAACCCAAAATAAAAATTTTTAGAACAATTTTTCCCTTATATAAATTCCCTATATATAATATATAATCATATATAGACCCATACGACTACAAGAAAATCCCCCCAAGAATCGCACAGACCCACAAAGAGAAATATTATAAAACGAAAATCCTCCCTCCCTGCGGCTCCATACGACCATGTACTCCGTAAAAAATGCAGTATATAGGAGTGTCGTGGAATGGTGGGTGGGAAGGCGAGGAATGCCGTTTATCATCGTCGTAGAGATTGTCGTTTAGCTGCGAAATTATTTATCTGCTTCGGGTAGAGCTAATATTCGAAACTTGTGTTAGTTAATAGACTTAGTATTTAAATTGCGGTTTCGGGTAAACAAATATTAGAATAAAATTACATTCCACGTCTCGGAAAGATTAATATTAGTATATATTTCGATAGATTCTTATATTAGATTTCTTAAGAAAAAGAGATCTCTAAGCTTCGGAAGTTTTGCGCGGCTAAGAGAAAATTTACTATATCGGGCTTAGGAATTTTAGGATTTAAGGTCATATGACATATAAAGAATAGATAATATATGATTTGTTGGATGAGGGGAAATAGATATATATAATTTTCGATATAAAATATATCATTTTGTGGTATGTAAGATCATTATAAATTCGTTAATGAAAGGTAATCGATTTTTTTTCAAAATAATTTTCTATCGGTTCGCCAATCTCCGCCCCCCCGTATCTCTCTTTTACCGGACATCTCGACATGCCCGGATCCAATTTTATCGAAGCAAAACCATCAATAATCACGAAGATCTCATCGAGAATTATATCCGATCCTTATAATAGAGGATACTTTTCACCAAGATTCTACCGTGAAAGTATTGAAAATTCAACTATCGCCCAAATCGCATTCCTATCAGGCTTACTTCTTGAAGCAATTAACCCAAGAAAAGATAATAATAATAATACTAATAATAATAATAAAAATAAAGATAATTATAACGATTTCGAAATATCCAGATCGACTCAAATCAAGAACCACGCCTCTTCGCGTGTAGCAGACCCAACAAACTCCACCGAAGGGCTCCTGGCACCCAGATTCCGCGACACTCCCCACATCTCCCCACAACAGACGCGCACGCACCCTCGCCCGCCGCTCCCGACACAGACTCTCGCCCACCACTCCACGACACTCTCCACGACACGCAAGCCCTCGCCCATCACTCCGCGACACTCCCTCGCCCCACTCCGCGACACTCCCTCTGACCCGCTCTCGCCCGCCGCTCCACACCCACGACGCACACGCCCCCGCCCGCCCGCCGCTGTGCGACACTCCCCACGGCACACGCGCCCTCAACGGCAACTTGCGTTTCCACGTTCCGGTCTGTAGCTGCTATGTCTGGTCGGTTCCTGCGACTGTGCGACAGACATGGTGAGTCCTCACTTTACCATCATGCTAGAGTGCATGATACGCGGCATGCACGGCATGTACAAAATGTCCAATCATTCACTATAATATTGAACGTCGATGATATCCAATGCTTTGTTGAGCGGCCTAATGCAGTGAAGGCTAGAACACAGAACAAAGTCGACCGAACATGTCGTGGTACGAAACACTGAATTTCCCAGGAATTTGGGGTGGTTCGAAACCCGGGTTTCGGGGTTTCGTACCACACAGCGTGTCCAATACAAAAACCCCAAAAAATCACAGGAATTTCTGGGTGTCGTATTGAGGACTGGCCTTTTGTTTAAAGGCAGACAGCCGCAAGCATAGCAACCATCCCATAATCCTAGGATTTTCGTGGTTTCGTGCCGGCAGCCGTCGTGCGCAAATCCAAAACCGGAGCAAGCGCGGAGCGTTGTATACAGCAAAAATGATAAATCAAACCTCAAGACTCAATAGGCCATAGAAATTCTATGTAAAATATATAGTCATTTTCACAAAACACAAATAAGAGAATATATATATATATTCATTTATTTATTTACACGGACATATACATATGCCTTTACATATACACATTCACACATACACTCATAAATGCATATATGCATGCATACATACATACATACATACATACATACATACATACATACATACATACATTTTTTATTTATGTATATATTTATAGTATGTAAGTGAAGAGTTTTGACTAAGACCATAGTATAATGATGAATAAACCTTGTCCGCGAGCGCACCTCGTTCATATCAGCACTTGACACCCCCAACAAGTCTTAGTTTTGATATTCGTTCTCACATTACTCCTGTAAGCAAGTGGGCTGAATATGAGTCTTTTTGCCTGCGATGAAATCAGCATTGCTTACCCAACAATCTCAAGTTCCAGACATCGGCCGGGGACGGTGTAGTTTCTGTCTCCACGATGACGGGCGCACCTGCACCCACCACGCCTGGCGAGACACAACTGAGTACGGCAGTCGAGATGCATCACACTTACCGCTGAACGTTCAATGCACCTCCTGTGAGTATGAGAACACAAGAGAGCACGGATTGGTGCAAGTGGTACTGGAGAAGGCTCCTGCAGTCACGCACAAGCCATCGCAAGGCGGCAACCTACAGCTGTACGCTACAGGTAGCTTGTTCTTAGAGGTCTACCACACTTCAACAGTCACAATTAAAAGCCTGCAGCAGCTCGACTCTGCTCCATCAGTTGCCAACGGCTCTTCCGAGGCTTCATCACGAAGCACATCTGTAGCTGCATGTCTGGAAGATATCACCTGGATGAGGGATGTTGATCTCTGTTGAAACTGCTGTGCTGTGTACCGGCCATATCCCACTCTTCACTATCTCCCCTGTCTAACTTGGCAGTTCTGTTTACTTCCACACAGGCGAAAGTTGTGTGCGGGTAGACTGGGGGTCGTGCGGCTGCAAGGTGCATCGCCTTCTCGGTGACAGCGGCCGGCGCAAGCAACTCAACCGCGGCGAGGGAGACGGCGGCCTTGAACTGAACCGTGATGCGATGAGTGGTCTCGTCTTCCACTTCCTAAGCGAAATCAAGCTCACGGTGCTGACATAGCTAGCTGCAGACCGCAAAATCAGCTGGGGCAGCTGCCATGGACCAGCATGCCACCGCATCTCGCAGGCTTACCAGTGGCACTGCGATTGGCTCCAGCAAGTGAGCAAGCAAATATCCTCTCCAAATCTTCTGGGCTTGTTTCAACTCCACTTCCCAAAACTTCTCCCGGCAGCAAAGGGGAAGCACCACAGTACCTGCCGCAGTTTCCACACCCAAACTTGGCACATACTGAAGATGCCTTTGTGCCATGTTATTTTACGTTCCATGACACAGCCTTCGTTCAGCTCGGGCAGCTTGGGTCCATCCTTCCCTGTTTCTCCAACCTCCTGGAGCTGGGCGTCTTGGAGTATGCGATAGGGCTGGCGCTTGAAGTAGGCGACGTGCTGCCAGGACACTTGCAGAAAGGCCAGCTCTTGTGACACATCCTCGTTCTGCCGGCACGTCTCCGGAAGAAGTATGCAGGACAAAGGCAGCAGCATGCGCATCAGCGGGACGAGCTGAAAGACACGAGCAATGTTGAGAAGTACGCAAAGGTGATGGTCAGCCTGAGGAATGACTGCGGCTTGCGAGAGATCAAATAACAAAGGGGCGAGCCGCATCAGCCATTCTCACTCTCACTCCTGTAATTCATCGCTTGGAAGGTACCAAGGTACTGGCAGCTGCCTTAGCATCCCCCAGCCGAGAATTGAAACCAGGCACCTCCATCAATAGAAGCCGGAAGCCCTGGGGGTTTATTGAGGCTTGGTGCCTGATGCATAACATCCTGTTCTTTCTTCTCCACCCAAATCCTTTTTGAGGTGAGATAGCAGTGAGCGCAGCTTGGCTTTCATCCAAAAACTTGCTCTTATGGCCTTATGGCTAACTAATTGAGAACACGGTTTGTCCGCGTTGTGGTAGAAGTCCCGCCACTTTATCGGCAACATCTTCCAGCTTAGAGTCTTCTTGCCTCTTGCCGATTTTTGCCAAGATTCCTGCAATGGTAGCATTTTCGTTCATCGGTCATGCAAACGGGCTGTGGGCCTCTAGCTTCTCGGCGGCAGCAGTTGCATCCGGATAACGTTGCCTTCTTAAACAACTCTTGTGACTCACATCTCGGATAAATGAGGTTCAGGGAATGTGATTCTGTTTTTGATAATTTCGGATGGTTGTCGGCGGTCGGCATGGTTTCTGCCTGAAAGGCTCGTCTGGCAATCTCGACTCATCATTTGAAACTGCGCAGAATTTTGGGAAGCCGGATCCTGCAGGTTAAAGTGCGTCCCCGAGATCATCAGCAGCAAGAAGGCCAATGCAAGGGAAGCCAAGCCCAGGAATAGCGTCCTCCCCTGAGAAGGTCGGCTGAAAGGTTGGGCAAGGAGCCCCAGACACCTGGAGTCAATACCCACAGGGAGCGACAGTTCCTAGTTCCTACACTCCCTACATGCCGTCTTGAAAAGAAAACAGGGAAAAGGAGCCGAAACATGTCTCCAAGCGGCAGAATGCTGCAAACGAAACCTCCGACGGCTCCCTGGGCCTGGCTCAGGAGTTCTACTTTTCACTGAAGCGAAAAGAGTTTGGGGCACCGGGAGCCCTGCCTGGTAGCCCTCGAGCTGTGGGATGAAAGCCACCAGCAGGAAGCCGATCTTTAAGAGCAGCTCGAAATGAAAACTGTCCTTGACTTCCCGGTGCACGAAGCTTTGGAGCAGAGGCACCCTGTGTGCTAGCACTTCGGGGTTTTGGTAAAGACTTAGAGATCCCTGTTTGGGCTCCATCGGCAAAGACACCGAAAGCCACAGACCCCTCAGTATGAAGTCACCGCAGTTTTTTGGGCTTGAGGCTGCTCAAATTAGCAGTTCCAACACCTGGGAGATTCCATCGTGCCTGCTCTTTTAACTTCCAACTTTTACTCCAAGAACTGCCGAGGAATCCCCCCAAAGAGATCGGTACAACATTACAACCTGCAACCTTCGCCTTGTTTAACTGCGAAGCGGCCGGGGTAAACTTTGTGAAGACTTCGAGACCTCTAAGATGTCCCTCGCGGTCATCTCGATCGAACTGCAAAAACAAGCACCGCACCACGAGAGATTGAAAATTGCTGGGCAAGCGAGCATTGACCCAGGCTCCATCGAAGAGAATGTCGGACAGCTGATCCTGACCCCGGCAGTTGGATCCCTTTCATGCATTCGACGCAAACATTGTATCGTCCCCCTCTAGTGGCGTCCCTCGTTTAGTCGGGTCGGGAAGATCTCTCGGCCTTAGGCATAGCTCCGAAGTGAGGGCTTGGGGGGGCGGCTTAGTCTGAAGCTTGCGTTGCTGCTGGCCTGTGTCTTGATGTCAAGTGTGCCATCGATGGTCACAAGTCGGGTGCCGAGGGCTTTCACTTCTGAAAGGTCAGCTTGCAAACACATATCCAGGTGCGGATAGGCCTTTCGAATTGCTTGTTGGCAAAAAATTTGATGAGCATCCAGAATGGCTGATTGCAGATATCCGGTTACTTGCAGATCTTCTGGCAGCTTGATCTCCAAGGCAGTTTTCCCCTCTGTGATTGCATACTCGGCATATCCAGCTTTGTATACCGGTTTGGCAATCTCATTGAATCGAGAAAAGCTTCCAAGAAGGAGCATGCAAACGTACATGATGTAAAACCCACCGAGGCACACGGCGAACAGGACTGCCAGGTAGTAGGTGCCCATGTTGCAGTAGACCCCGGGGACGAAGGTCATAATAGGCGGGCTGATCTCTGAGTCGCATTCACCGACAGAAAGGACAGAACTTGCAGTGGCAACCATTAGCAGGTTGATCACCTGAACTTGGGTCTGTGCCCAAAGCTTCCTGCATCTCTGGCATTCGAGTGGGAGAATAGCCAGCAGCACATAGAGCATCAGTAAAATGGCCAAAGGAAGCAGGGAGCCGCCGATCAGCTGTGTCATGCGGCTGCTTGTGTAGCTGAAGACGCAGTCCAAATGGAAAGAATCCAGCAACAAGGGACCTGACAACTGTCGACACAGAGAGGCAACAAGAATTGGTTGGCTGCCGAAGGGCTGGCGGCCCTGAGGGCTCAAGCGACTTGCCTTTTCATACATGATACTGGCGCGATACTTGCTCCGACCAGTGCAATGCTCGTCCTTTCCTCCTTCGGAGGCATTCTTTTAGACAGGCCGCAGGCTCTCAAGCCGTCGTTGCGTCGCCGGGCTCTCGCTATTGGTCTTAACTTCGCACGGGCGAGTAGTTCAACTATGTTTGATGACAGGGGATACCGTAGTCGCCTAGTCTCTGATGATGACAGAAGCCCGGGTTATTATGGATGTAAGGGCTCGTCCTCCGTCGCTCGCATTTGCTACGAAGTGATTGTGCATTGCCCACCTAGTTTCAGCTGCAGCATCTCCAGGACCGAGGCTTCGCTCCGTGCGTCCGGGTCTGGGAGGATCTTGCTGAAAACTCCGAAGAGCTGATAGACCTCTCACGCCGCCATCTGTTCAAAAGTTCGCAATTATACGGGGGGCCATCTGTTCAAAATGATACGGAGCAAGTCAACATTTTCTAGTCACACCAGAATAACTTCTCCAAATGCATGCTCACCAACATTGAAGTGAAGCCTTATGAACAGCCACCACACCAGAACCCAAACCAAAACGACCTGCTTCAGCTTTACGGGGTGCGATGTTTTCCAGCAGTATAGCAGCTCGATTGCATGGGTTTGGCTCCAAGCGCATTTGACGGAGGCCCGCACCTGGATGGCGGCCAGCACTTCGCGGAGAACGTAGGGCTGCAAAGCATTCCACAAGGAGGGCGGTTTCACGAGGTTCTGCCGAGCTCGAGTCGGCCAGTAGCTGGCATGCTGCCTGCCTCTGACAAAGCTGGAACGAATGGATATGAGCGGGCTTAGGGCATGGCGGCATGACACCGAGGCTCGGACAGCAAAGTGCGAGTGCAGCGGCCGCAGTCGCCGCCAGCAAGAATAAACCAACAGCAGCTGCACCGAAGCGAGAGGCAAAGCTGACGGTCGCGCTCTTCAGCTGGCTGGCGGCACATTTAATGCCTCAACTTTCTGGGAACCGAAGATATCTCTGGCTGGATTCTCTGCAATCGATGTTTCTCACTTCAGCCTTAAGGCTCTCACACTGGCCGCCTCTGTTGAAATAAGATGGCGCACACTGGCGGCACTTTGGGCCCAGATGACCATCTCGACAGATGTGGCCTGGCGCAGGGGCTGAGGTTTCTGCTTGCATGCCATGACTGCGACAGGGCTTTTTCGGGCACTGGAAACCCACTGGGACAGCTTTGTTTTCGGGCCCTGGCAACCCACTAGAGTTTTGGTTCCGACCCTGCATGGAGTTTCTGGGGGGTTTCCGGTTGCGACCACTAGATTGCCTCAGGGCGGAGGCACGGCAAATGCAGTTCAGTATGGCTCCGGCGGCCCGTCCAAGGTACTTAAACACTCTCTCTTTGCTTTGCTTTGCTTCGGGGATGGGGTGTGGGCAGACCCCACACCCCGCGCTCGAGGCGCTACCCCCTCCAACATGTTGTTGGTTGGGGTGTCTGTACGCTGTCTGTTGGTGTGAAAAGCAAAGTTTAGTGCACGCCACCGTGGGGGCAGGAAACACAAACATACAAGCTTTCACATACCTGAAAGTGGGTGCCCCGTGGCCTCACTCCTTTGGTACCCTACTTTAACCCGACCTTACCTGTAAACACTCTGCTTGCTTGCTTGCTTGCTTGCTAGGCGTCTGGGCACGAGGACGAGTCCCCGAAACCCTGCGCTCACGCGCTACGCCGCTGTCCGTCTGGGGTCTGTGTGACACAGAGGGCTCGGCTTGTTTCACGGATTGGCCCAAGTCCCTTGCCCCGAACAGCTTACAACCAACAGCACGTTCATCTCCTGCCTGGGCCATCACGTGTGCGCCCTGTAAACACTCTCTCTCTCTCTCTCTCTCTCTCCTGGGCATGGGGACGGGTCAACGTCCCCGGGGACCAAGGCCCACCCAATCGTATGTTCGGCCACGGGGAGTGAAGAACGAGGGCAGTGCATCAAAAGGCTAAAGCCAGGTTGAGCTTACAATGGAAGATTGATGACACTGCTCTCTCATATGACACAGTTGGCTTTCGAACTTGGGGGAAGACTCCTTCCGTAACAAACAGCTAGTACAGAACAAGATAAAAGCAATTCGTTCTTCCCCCGTGTTAGCCATCGAAGCAAAAGCAAGTTGACTTAGTTCTGGCACAGGTTTTTGTTTGTGCACAAGAATCTACTCTTTCTTTCGGCAAGGTTAGAGGCAGAGGGGTTTCCCCCTCTGCCCGCGCGCCAGTGGCGCCCCCGACTGGTGCGGAGGGGATTGAACGAGCGCATCCGACATCAAGGCAAATTTCATGCCAACTGTGCATGTCGTCAAAGCACTCAAGGAAGGCTATTTTCTCCCTCCTGAAAGTGTTGTTGGGAAGAGGCCTCCGAGCCAGGAAAAGGGGATCCCCCTACACGTGAAGCAAGGCTATCATCCAAGAGCAATAAGGGACAGCACTATAATAACTGAAAACAGTGGCCAAAAGGAAGCGGGATCGCCTCTTCATAAAGCCACATATCCTATTCTCCATCAAGCTCTCAACTCTACCCTTGGGCAACTCTCTCTCTCTCTCTCTCTGTCTATTGCTTGCTTGCTTGCTGTCTTGGGGTTTAGGGGTTGCGGACAACCCCCTGGCCCGAAGGCATACCCCTCGCGGCGCACTTCTGTTCGTCTGAAAGGCCCCTTTCGGGGCGCACTGGGAGAAAAAGGGCCCTCGGACCTGGGTCACGAACCTGCGAGGTGGATTTCACACCCGCCAAAAATGTTTGCAGCTTTTTTTCGGACCTTCCCTCGACCTGCGAAGTCGCTTTCAAACCCGACAAAGAATGTTTCCAGGGTCCAAAAAGACCCGTCCTTCTGCAGCGCTGGGTTCGCTTCGGGCCCGCATGCTGTGCACAAAGCCTGCGCCCCCCCTACGAGCCTCGGGCGGCTCATGGAGGTTTACAAGCCTACACAAGGTCGACAAAATGTCCATCTCGACATACCACTCCTGATGTGCACACTAACCCAGAAGAGCCCTCCGTCCGGACGGGGTGAGGGCATAAGAAAAAACACAGGGGCCAAAACAACATGGGACGTAAAGATGCCGTGTGTGTGTCTGTGTGTGTGTGTGTGCGACTGCACCTTGAAAGAAACCAATCTCAACCATGAAGCCCGACCATGCGATGTACCTGGAGGCCCACTGACGCAGCCATTTGGCTTGTTGCCAGCAGCACACTTCAAAGGCAGAAGATGAGCTGGGTCTCGCCAAAAGCCGTCCTCGCGGTCACGACATAAGGTAATGACGGAGTGGGTTCAAGATTTGTAGGCCTGGCAACGGTGATTCTGCCATGCTCCTATTGCAACACAACCCTCACATGGGTGAGTTACCGGACCTCCCTGCCTAAGTTGCAATGATAGGCAATCCGTGCGCAGTACGCAGGTCGAAGCTTCGGTGCATAGCGCTGGATATGCGAAACATTGTCTCTGCTGGACTTGCCAATCCCCAAAACTCCTCAGAATCCTCATGAAGTCTTTATACACGCTCCAAGCGAGGGTCGGGCGGATCAGAAGTGCGTTCTAACAATGTAACAACCTCAAAGGTGGCTTCATCGAAAAGCATTGCACCCAGTGATGTGTCACATCCGTCGCCTCCGCAAAACTCTCGAGAGATTTATCAGGAGCTTGCTTAGTGACAGCAGTCGTTACATTCAGACAAGCACTATCCTGCTTGATACGCATCATGCACTTTACCCTCGAAACCTGGTACGCCACACCTTTCCCAGGTACAAGAAATGCAGAGCTTCTTGGCAACGCCGCACCGACACAATAAAATCTCCAAATCCACTTGTCTCTCGAGTCTGGATACGGAAAGCACAGCATGCTTTGTCACAGTCTTGCTGTCCTTGACCGGCGCAGTCTCGAACTTGAGACCTGTCGCAGAGCTGGACAGGCCTACTCTGCTCGCCATCCGAAGAACGCTAGACCTCACTACTGCCTGCAAGAAAGAAGTTAAATGTTTTTCATCGTCTCCTACAAGAGATGGAACGCCCTGCACCCGTGACTCAGGATGAACCGAAAGGCTCCCTAAAACTTTGAACTGGCTGCCAATCCCGGAAATTCGTTTATTCGGTGAGACAGGTCATGTCATTTCGCAGCTCTTTGCCTGGCGCGGAGCAGTTGAAGTTTTCTCCTTGTTCTATTTCGATGCAGGCACGGCAACCCTCGCCCGGCATCATCAAGAAGCCTCAGGAAGGTTGCTTACGCAAGCAGCACGTCAGCATTTCATTCACTTCGCATCAGAAACGCAACCGGCCTGCATCACAAATGCAGTCGCTTGCCGAGGACAGACTCGCGTTTTCCAGCGTGATCTCATTCGCTTGGCACGGCGTGCACTCGAAAAGGTGGCTCACGGAGAACACTGCGTTGAAACGACCCTGAGGGCACCTGGAGCAAAGGATCAGGGGGCTGCGGCTCAGAAGCTCGTGTGTTTTCCGCCGGCCTTTGACAAGATCCCGAACCCCCGCCCCACCATCGCCACACAAAACCTCGGGTGCGGGACAAACCAAAATCTCTGACTTGCTGCCGTGAGAGCCAGGAGGCCTGGAGTGCACAGTCGAGACCGGTCGAGTCGAAGCATTGCACCAGGAGTCGAGGAGTTGTTGTCCTGTCGTGGCTGCATGCATTGCGAGCTCCTTAGAATAGTTCCGGAACATGACGTCCTCCAAAAATGCTTGCAGATGGACAGAATGCTTTTTGCTTGGATCGGCTTCGGTCTGCAAGCCAGCGATTTCTAAACCTCAGCTATCCGATTCAACTGCATGTCCTCAGCGTCACGCACACTTGCAAAGGAAAAGGCTTGCTTGCTCGCCTGCCTGCCTGCCTGCTTTCTTTCGTTTGCGCTCTGTCTTTCTCACTTTCCTTGACTTATTGGCTTGCTCAGCTAGGACAAATTCTCTGCTTCGTGAAAGTGCGTACGAACAGGAATTCGGTTCTGATGGCCTCGGCCAACCTGCTCAAGCCTCTACGAACTGGTCGGTCCGCAGAACTTCCTCCGGGTGGGTGTGAGGGAAAGCTGAAAAATTCGAGGTGCAACGGTTTTAGCAGCTGCTGCTTCCAAACTGGTAGCAAACACAAAAAAACTTTCACACGCCCAACTTGTCACTGTGCACACCTGCACTACCCGACAAATTCTCTGCTTCGTGAAAGTTCTTTTTCAACAGGAGGTCGGTTCTGTTCCACTACCCGCGGAGTTCTGTGGTCCGAACTGGTCTCGGCCAACCTGCTCAAACCGAACACTCGCGCTTTCACTGGGCAACCGGGTGCAACGCTAACAGGTTGACCAGCTTCTCGAACAGGGGTTTGTCTGGGTCCAGGGGCTTTTCGGTGAGCTCAAACAGGAGCTCCCAAGCTTTGTCAAACTTTGGGGACTGCCTCTGGCAGCCTACGTAACAGGTCGCTAAGTCCCCGTCACCTCGGGACACCTTGTCAGAGAAGCCGGCCTGACTGGTCACTCGTACAAAAACAACGTTAAGACTCTTGCTGGCTATCCAGAACCAAAACCAATCTAACAGATTCCTTGGAGCAGCCTTTCCTCAGCGCATGCTCACTGGCAATGTTGTCAACAAAGCAGAGCACGTCTCCTGACAGGACTTCAGAAGCGACCGCCAAGCATGCGATCTTGGCCACTGCTTCCAACTCAAAGATGAAAATGCCTTGGTCGTTGCAGCCCTTGCTAACAGGTTGCTCGGCACTGACGACCTGTATGCCCATTTCAAACCTGCGTTGCTGAAGAAAACGGCGCCTAATCCATTTGACGATTCTCTGAGTATCTCAAGGGGGGTCGTCTGTTGCAGCCATCGACATGCTGCCTGACTTGTGCCTGCCAGTGTCCCAAAATGTCCCAAATGCGTCAGCGTACAACGAGTGAGGTCTCCGCGGCTGAGGGCACCTTTTCAACGGGAGGCACCATGGCTTCAGTGAAGGTAGCAATGCTGCCAGGTTGGTCATAGCTGACTTCAAGGGCGCGTTCAATTTCTTTTGTCGGAAGGGGCAGTGCTGACGGGAGTAAACTGCCTTCAGCAGGGCCTTGCCGACTCCCCCAGAGACTCACGAGCAAACGAAGTTGAGTTTGCCTGCCAAGTGTGCTGCTTCGTCTTTGCTAAGAGCGCTTGCTAACAAAGCTTTCTGGATCAACTGATCCAGCTTCTCGATCCCGCTCTTGCTGGGTCCTGCAGTGACCGACGACTGCTTGAGAATTTCCGACACAACTCCTGATAGGGTGGAGGACTGACTGGGCTTCTGTGCTTTACTCTCCTTCATGGTAGTAAACCCCGGCACGGGTTGGATAGAGTCGGATAGAGCAAAAGCTTCTGAATCTCCCTGTGCCTCCGAGCGGGAGGACCAGATGTTGGAAGACCTGATTGCCTGATTCGCAAAGCACTCATCTGGGTCTGTAAGGGGCAATGCTCTGCAAGCTCTGTCGTGGTCCAGGGCAGCTAACGTGGGTTCTCCAAACTCGGCTGCTGCCTGCACGGAGCTGAGCACAGTCTGGGTTACCTGCGTAAGGCGGTGAGAACGAAAACTGTGCTGTTGCGTCCTGACCTTGTCCAGCCGTCCGCTCTGCGGACCTTGTCCTGCTGTACTACAGGGAAAGCTCTAGAAGCGAAGGCTGTCGGTGAGGCTGCCACCTGACAAGGCTCGAACTGCTTTGCGCAACATGGCAGGCGCATGTTCCGAACCCTCTATACTTAGGCCCTACTTCACGGGAGAGCTCAGATTTGTGTAGGTTGTTGAGCTCAACGTAACGAACTGGGCTTTGGTCAGGGGTCGGCTGTACTTCTCGTCCTGACGGACGTCCCAGCAAGTCTTTGGCGGGAACCGTCCTCACACTTTGAAGCCGAACTGGAGTTCGTCTGCCAGTTCTTTTGTGCCTGGAAACTCGAACAGGGTCAGCAAGTGAAAAGCGACAAGGGGCTGCAGTACGTACTGTGCTCGCCTCTGCCGGTAAACGAGTCTATAACGTGCGCAGGAGCGGCTTCCAGCCACTGGCCTTGCTCTTCTTGGAGCTCTTCTTGGAGTCTGCTGTCGTCGCTGACCATCTCTTTCCTCCATGCAAGCCTCAAGGCTCGGACTCAAACTCTGACCAAAGTGCAGCGACCACCTGAGGCAGCGGTTCTGACTGGGGAAGCTCAGTCTCTGGCTGTCAAGCTCAAGTGCCCAGTGGAGATGTTTGAACGGGTCGTCGGCTGGTCCTGTCTTGTGACTCGGGTCAGGTTCACGGGGGCCCCATTTCAGACTAGACTTAAGCCAAATCGAGGCCGCCCTGTAGCGCGACGAACAAGACAAACTTCGCTGTAGGCAAGTGCCAGGCATTGCCTAGCCTTCTACACCTGGTTCTTTCGCCAAGGTTGGTGTCCGGCGGACGGGTGGTCCCTGATCTGGTGTCAGCATCTTTATGCGCGTAGAGCTCGTTCCCTGTACTGATGTGGCGGGTACTGCCGGCAAAAACCGCCATCCAACGGCGCATAGGCGGATTGCGTCCTTCCTCTGTAAACGCAGAGCAGTCAAGCAAGGGTAGAGGCACCTCGCTGTTTTCACCTCGTCGTGAAAGATGGCTGACGTGCAGTCAGAGGAGAGGCGCACTGACAGGGAACAAGTTGGAGCTCGGGACCAACTGCCAGCGCTTGTTAAACCTCCGCCACCTGGCAATTCCAGCCAGTACTGGCGGCGGCTGGCTGGAATCGTCTGCCCAGGGATCAATGGCATTTGACTACCACAGTCTTGGCCCGGATACGACGCCCCAGGACCCGGCATCAATCACGAAGGAGCGATACCCACTAACTGGTCGAGTGCTTTGTGTGGGGCAGCGGCTGCGTTGGGGATGACATTCTCAAGCAGGAGAATGTGTTGGTGCTTCAGCATCCCACGAAAAGGCACCAAATGCGAACTTGCAACCTTCAGGACTTCAGGGCCGCTGAGCCCTGGCTGGGAGGACTTAACTTGGCTGAAGTCTGTGCACGGAGGGCTGGCGCACACCAAAACAAGTGTGTCTGACGAACAGGGCCTGCTGCAACTTCCAACGGGTTGGCAACTGTGGCATCGCCAAAGCGTCGAACCTGACGGGTATGTGAAGAGATCACTTTCTGGCAATCAGGGTCCGTCTCCCAACACCAAAGCAGAATGGGCTGGACCCCCAAGTCACGCAAGGAGAGGAAGGTGGTATGCCACAAAAGAAGGAGAGGACTGCAATTCTGCGAGAAGACCCTCTGACAGGAAGTGATGCAGGCCTCTTGGAGTGAGTGGGCTGCGAGCTGACAAAAGTGCCGGCGGGGCTGTGAAGGAGGCGCTTGGACCGAGGTGCGCCGAGGGACTGCCAAGACCAGGGCGGCAGCTGGTTACCTTGCACAGTGTTCTCGACGGCTTTTGCGGATCAAGTCCTGGACTTGGTTGTTGTCGGGCTCTAACGAGGCTGAAGAGGCAGGGGAGTGAGAGGATAACCCGGGGGAGTGAACATGCACAGCTGCTTCTTCGGGAAACAGGACTGCTGCCTCTTGAACGTAACGCAAAACGGCGCTGCTGCCCCATCCCTACCAGTTGTATGTAAGGCACGTCCAGCAGCGAACGTGCAAACATCTGTGCCTCTCGGAACACATGTCGCGACCATCTGGCCACGGCCCCAGGACCCGAGGAGTCTATTTGCTCCTGCTACAACACATAATCACCGGCCCGGACTAACATGACAACCTGGCGCTTAGCGGCTATCTCGCCCGAACGGGACGTGAACACGTGGGTGGTTGGCGTCCAGCGGCTCTTCTTCTCAGCTGGACCACCACCTGGCGCAGGGCGTGGTACACGCACAGAACATGCATGCCGCTGTTGCACTGGCACTTCTGGAAAGGCTGTCCCGAACAACTCGGGGGGGGTAGTGTCCTGGAAGGTGGCATCATGGGTAGGGTTGCAAATGCACTTGTGCTGGCGAAGCATGAACCAGCTGGCCGCGCCGCATGCCTGCTGGAAGCAGTCGTCAAAAGCGACCTGGAGCTCCAAGTAAGCTGTCTGTACCTCGACTGGGAAGCACGGGCTCGCCGACTCTAGCCTCAGGTCAAGCTTCGGGTCGGCTTGCGAACGGGCTTCGTGCAGCTCTGGACCCCATGGATATCCTGCTTCCGTGCTTCTGCTTCTAGCTACCGAGATATACTGTGCCGACGAGCGGTACCTGCCTGCACTGGAGGGTGGCCACTGCGAACAAGGAACTTCTTGTCACGGGCAGCGTGGGGAAGCCTCTCCTTGCTGACAAGCGACCAGGTAACCTGAGGGGCCTGAGAAAACACCTTTCAAGAAGAGCCTGTCGGCTTCATCAACGTCAACTGGGGCAGGTGTGTCGGCCCCTGACGGGAACGGCTCAAGGCCTAAGCATTGCAAAGATTCCCGGGTTCGCCGTTGCTTTTTGCTAGTTCTAGGAGCAAGGGCTAAACGGTCTTCAAGGGCAACGTCGCTAAAAATGCTCTTAAGCACTGATCTCGGGCAGGACTCCAGGTCGTTAGCTGACTTGACGCCGGCGTCCTGCAGCTGTGGGAGAAACTTCACGAGATTTCTGCCGCGTGAAATTTCCAGCAAACTGACGGTGTGTCGTTCGGAGCACATGACACGGTGCTATTCTCACGATGCACCTGTCGGTGCTCTGGAAGGGCGTCATCATTGCACTAACAGGACTTAGCACATGAACACGTGTGCCACATGTCTACACGGCTCTGGACTCACCCACATACCCACAAACACACACGCACTGACTGGCACACATTCTTCCTGCATCTTACGAGGAACTAGCAACTAGCAGAAGAGGGGGCGAGACCACACACTGGCGAGCTGAGGGAGGCAAGAAGCAGGGTACAGGCAAGCATTCTACCTGGAAGCTCTTGACAAGACAAACCTAACAGAGCACTCGTAACAAGTGTCCCTAAGCTCAAACGACCCAACGGGCAGCACTCTGGCCCTGAGTTGTTTTGTCCTTGGCGGATCCTGGCTCGCGAAAAACAGGCGAGCTTACGCTCCCACGTCGCCTGCCTACGTCGCCTGCCTAACAGGGAAACACTGCGCTCATGCCCACTGAAGCCACCGAACGGGTAGTCCCTGACAGGTGTGTGCACGTAGTAGCCGAGGTCCTTTTGCCAGCCTCGACCCCTGGCGTTCCCAGTCTACCTGCAATCTTTCCCGTGTTCAGGCCACCGAGCAAGACTGTGTGGACGAGCTCGTTGTCGAGGACTACGGCGACTTCTTGTTCGGCCCTGCTGCTTGTTTCTCAGACACGGGAGGACCGTTTGGAGGACACTCGACGGTCCCAGCTGATCACTTTCGGGGCAAGGCGTCACCACCACCTCTGCCTCAACTCGAGAAGCCAGTTCGTCTACAGGTCCCACGACTGGAGGACAGCAGCATGCAGCCCAGTCAGCAGGACAAGCCACATGAGTACAGCCGTTGCACAGGAAGGCGGTGCAGCAGAAGTCATCGTTTTTCCCGCCGGCAGGACCCTCAGGAGCCGCAGCCACGACACCTCCGGTCAGGGCGTGCCAAAGGAAGGTGCCTCTGCCGTTCGGCAAAGCCGGCTAGCCAGGCCGCCGGTCAGCCAAGGGCTTCCAGCGAGTGGGGCGAGCCGCGTAGCCATTCAGGCAGGATGTGACGTGGATACGCCGCAGATCCCAGAGGAGCAGCGGTTCCTGTTCGTGACGCCGAACGTGATTTGCCACCAGGAGCTCGCTCCGCTGGTCGCACCGGACGGCCTGCCCTTTCATGTTGGCCCTGCAGACTACTGGCACAGCGTGCAGGGTCAGATGCGCGAGGTGCTTCAAAGGCATGTGTTCGAGGTGCAACTTACGTGACTACCGCAGGGCATGGCTTTTGCTGACGCCACGGGCGCTGACGGGGGCATCCTGTGCTGCATCATCCCACGGGGCCATATCGTCGGGAAGGTCCCCAAAGATGGCTCCCACCAAAGCCTTTGCATCGTAGGTGGACTACAATCCTTGCTGATGGTAAGCATTCAAGCCCTCGGCCACTGACTGGCTCATAAGCCAATCTCGCACGGTGCGAGGCACGGAACTCACCCAATGAGTCCATCAGCTGGTCCTCTGTGGCCTCGCATAGCACCTTAAGTGCAGCCGGCACAGCAAGACTAACGTGGCTTTGTCCTGATATGGCTAGGCACGCGAGGCTCTAAGCTGAAAAGCTGAAAACCTTGAGGTGCAACGGCTTCAACAGCTGCTTCTTTGGTTGCTTCCTAAGTGGTAGCAAACACAAAGAGACCTGTCACTGTGTGCACACCTGCACTGCCCCTGAATTATTCTACCAGTCTAGCTTGCATTGCCGCCAAGTTTCACAAGCTGAACTCCTTGCTCTCGGTCAGCAGCGCCTGAACACAATCAACACATCATGTCCTGTGCACGCGAAGCCTAAAGAATTGAGGCCGGCCTGGCACTGGCCCGGTTGCCGCACTGGAAAGGGCAACGAGAGCTGCAAGTTCCCCCGAAGGTCTATTTCTACATGGGAAGGCCACCAAGAGCTGCCAGCTTCAGGCAGCACGATCTCCTGCACAGCTAACAGGCTTGTCGTTGCTTCTGGACGTGTTTGGACTGCCATGTCACCATGCCACTTTGTCACCCCTTCGGGCCCTTCGGCCAGGTGCCTGCACACCGGAATTTCGAAGAACCGCTTTCCGCAGCGTGCGAGGAAGCTTCCCGTCCAAGTAAGGCACGGCTGTCTCGGTGCAGTTCAGGACCTCGACATAGGCACAGTTCTCCATCTGTGAATAGATTAGATCCTACAACTCTTGCCGGCCTCGAGGTTGGGAGCCGAGTTGAAGAGATCAATGAGTCCCACTGACGGGATTTGCATGCGTTTGGCATCTGCAATCGTGAGCTGCCTGCGTCTGCAGCAGGCATACACGAAATCTTTGCTGCATCAAAACTGCAGATGTGCGGATGACTCAACATCCCGGACAAACTGCTTGCCGAGATGCCGCAGCAGCGGGGCTAAGAGTGGACACATCCAAAATCCACGGGCCGTAGGCCCTTGTAGGACCAGAGAACGAAGATGTTTGAAGGAAGAAAGGCGCTCACAAAGGCTGGCAGCAGAGTCGGGCAGCCCAGGTACAGCCGAAGCTATAGACCAGTCACGGACAACAAGCTCCCTAATAACAACAACTTCCGCACCGATGCGCCGACTGCCAGCACCGCACTGCAGCGTGCTCCACTCGATCTGAGCGGCGCTGAGTACTAGGGACACTTCGCATCGCCCGTCTTTGCAGGAGCAACGAACATGCGTTGAAGAGCAGAAGCTGGCCATCCAGTCCGAAGGATTAGCTGTGGGAAAGTGGAACCCTAGAGCCGCGAGAAGGAAGCCCCCCCCGCCTACAGGAAGAGACCAAGTTTGAAGCAGGTCAACGTCCGCGTGGGAGTTCGAGAGCACATGCAACGAGCCATGAGACCAAACCATATCTTGAACCTGGCCCTGCACAGGCAGCGTGTACTCCACTTGGAAGGAAAGGCTCTCATCGCGGAAGCGTAGCTTGCTGTCGCATTCTGCGGTCGCCAGGTAGCCGCTGTCAATGGACCAGGCCAGCCTGGGGCCCAGGTCCCACTGCCAAGCTCGCTGTGGGCAACGCCTGGCATCGGTCGCAAACCGAGCCAGCTGCTGAAACTTCTCATCTGCTACATTCTGCTTCCACACGACGATCTGCTCCAGACTTGCGCTCGCAATGAGCTGGCCATTAGGAGACCATTCCAGGCTCCAAATAGGTGTTGTGTGATTGTTGTTGCCTTCGTGCCGCACTGCATGTCTATCTCCAGGCCGCCAAGTGTGGATAGTCCCAGCCCGGCCAAATGCAATACTATCTGAGTTGGGGGACCAAGCCAAAGCTTCAATGTAATGAAGTCCTTTCTTATTCTTGCTGTCTCGTTCTTCGGCTTCTGATAGAAGAAACGGGAGCAGGAGCGACCCCTTGTGCGTTGGCTCGTATATGCGAATCGAATATCTACACGCCAGGGCTACACGCCTGTCATCAGGAGACCAACGAATGGAGGTCTTGGAACCCTGGCAGTTGCTCCTTACCGCACGCTTCGCATTCAGCTGCCATCGTTCACCGCTGCCCCTGGCACTGCTCGCAACCCAATGCTCGGTCCCACTTTTTGTCCGTATGAGTAGATGAAGCCCACTTGAAGAAACCCCGTAATTGCGTATGATCTCTCCATTCAACTTCGGACTTTCTGCAACTTCCTCGGACGGGTTCCAGTGCTCCAAGACTCCTTCTCTGAGCCAAAGTCTCGTAGCGATAAATGCAAACCCCTTTGCCGATAACGTCCACCGAGACGATCGATACCGAGGTGTGGTGATCGTGGTGCGCTCGAAGCTGTGGCTCTTCTGCCAACCCCCTGGCCCGAAGATACTCCAAACCTGCAGTGGCGGCGCGTCGGCTCCAGAGACGAGATGCTGGCCGTCATGAGACCAGGTCATGCCGGACACGGGAGAAGTAAAGTCCCGGTCGCTCAGAACGTGCATAAGATGCCAGGCGCCAGAGCCGTCGGGGCCGCCAGGCGCAAAGACCTGCCAGATGTGGATACCATCGTTCGCAGAGACAGCCAAGCTCTGGCTCAGAGGATGCCACTGGAAACTGCGAGGATTTGTGTGCTTCAAATTGGAGACACATTCCTCTGACCAGCGCCCATCGATGCGGGCCCAGACGGACAGGCTGTTGGAACGCATGCATGCGAGGTACGCACTATCAGGTGAGAAAGCGATCGAGCCACACTCGCTGGCCACGGGCCATGCCTGCTTCTTTTCGAACTGGCCATCCTTGCCCAGGTCCCAGAGTTCCAGAAAATTGCCTGCGCCCGTTGCAAGCTGCTGCTCATCGGTGGACCAGCCGAGCGACTGCGCTTGCAGAGCTTGGTAAGACTCCCAACAGCCCGAGCTGTTTCGCCTGAACAGCTTCATGTCGGGACCGTCGCCATATGCAAACTGCCAGCCTGTCGGAGACCACACTGCAGACACCCAAAATGGATCTGCTTCCAATCCGGAAAGGGCCTGACTCGCCTTCCACTTACGAGGATCACTGCTTATGTTCCATAGCTGTACTGCGCTCTTGTCTCCCTTCACTGCAGCTTGCTCGCCGTTTCCTGCAAGACTAAGCCACAAAATCTGGACAAGCTCGTCGCGCCAACCATATGCGGGATCAAATCTCCAAACAGTGATCCCATCCGATCTGCCTTCCACTATTCGGGAGCCAGCCTGCCAACTCACTATCAGCTCGTCACTACTTTCAAAAGAGTCAGGCGGCATACCCAGGTGCAGGACAGCCTCCCGGCTTTGATTGAGCGTACGTGCCACAACGCAGGACTCTCCACTTCTACCGTCGCCGATGTCTGCATCCAGCGAGTCGACAGGGCGGTACACACGTTCAGAAGCACCTTGTCCAAGCCAAGCCACCAACAGGAGCCACCTGGCTAAGTGTTGTGATCCGGAATCCAGCTGCATGCAGGCTCCTTGCCGTAACATCTTGGGCAGACGACATCTTGGCTTGGCGAACCTCGGGCCGAAACGTAATTTAAGTCATCGCAGGACGGGAGGCTTTCTGTGAAGGGAACTCTCAAGCCTGGGGGGACAAGCACTTCCTTCAGCCTTTCGCGCTTTTCGAGTCCACGCTGCGCAAGCTCCCACGAAGCGAAGAGCAGCCAGTCTGCCAGTCTGACCTTGAACGGTCGTTATGTGGCGATTGGCTGTGTGATCTGTACCTGCTGACCAGCGACAGCAGCAAAAGCTTTCACAAGTCCCGTGAGACCACTTCGGCAAGGCCCGAATGGCCAGGGAGCTGAATCACGTTGCAGCAGACCCCCGCAAACGCCCATCTCCAGCTTCAAGCACGTCGGCGAGAGTCCTCTGTCACCTCGCGGCCTCCAAGCTTCATCCACGGGCACCAGATCACCGCGACCGTCGGCAAGGTCTCTCTGGAGGTTGCCTGGTCTCCGCTCTACATGGATCTGCGTTGCAGGCGAAGGCCTCGTTGAAGCGATCTTAAGGGCTGTAGTTCTCCCGTGGGACTTTCTGGCCCGGGTGCAACTGACTGAGACTCACTTCTTGTTCTCTGCCCGCCGCCACGTCTTGAAGATGTTCAGGATCTGCTGTCCATGATTTTCACCTGGGGTGGTGTTCCACTCACATGAAACAAAGCGGCTTGAGGCAGTGTCTGTCTGCTTCATGGTTGGAGGGAGGGGAGGGAGTCAGTGGAGGGGAGGGGAGGCAGGGAGGACAGCGACAGGGACAGCGACAGGCACAAAGACAGGGTAAGAACCCGGATACAGAAGGACAGAGATGGACAAACATGCCCTCGCCATTCGTTCGCGCCACCTTGGCTTGCCACGGTCTCTGCCTCAAAGGCTTCGCCCTGCCCAGGGATGCGAGCTGCCCACCTTGCCGGGACTTCGTCTAGTCTAGGTGGCACGGCGGCTGTGCTTATTTTTTTGTGGCTCAAGGCTCGCATGGTGGAAGGAGGCCTTGTGTCTCGGCCCTAGGTACCCAGCTCGGATCTGGCAGTCCACAACCCAGGTCTCTGCACACGGAACCCTGGACAGGAGTGGGGGGCGGGAGCCTCATGTGCGCCACGTCGCGAGGTGTGACGCCTGACATCACAAGCAACGGGATTTAGGTTCGCCTTCATACGATGCAAGCCTGACAGGAAACCTCTTTCTACATGGTACCAGTACTTTCCTGGAAGCACCCTTTTCACGTTAGCCTGCCCTGGAGCCTGCAGCATCGATTCCAACAGCGCATGTCATCATGTCCTACTACTGCAGCCTGCAGCGCTCCGGGGCCCGCTCCCCGACAATTTCTCGCAAAAGGGCTCCCTCCGGACGCCAGCAAGGCTTGGGCAACCTGCCGAATTCTTGAACTCTTGGGCTGCTAGGTTTCCTAGTGCCTTAAAACCCGGATTCATACAGACCGGTACCAGGGTATCACTGACTGATTATGAAACTGGCGCTGGCAATTCCTATGGGGACATATTTTGCGCTGCTAGTGTCGCACAGCTGTCCTCAGCATGGCCCTCGTACGCTGCGTAGTGGAGGGCTGTACCTCGAATGAACGGACTTCCATCCATGCCTAACACCCGAATCACGTGCAAGTTTTTTCGACTCACGACACATTCAAGGAGCTGCGCCAACTTTGGCGGAGAACATGCGCCAGAACCATCTAGGCATGCGGGTCCAAGCGCCGAGCAAAGGCTTGAATCCCGTGCCTGAGCGGTGGTTGCTCAACAAGCGAACTTTCGCACAAACCTGTTACGCTTTCGCACCTATCATAGTTTGACTTTTGCAGAGCTTCATTTTGGTCATGTAACATGTACCCATGAATGTATTCTGTATGGATCTGTGCGATGACCGGGGTTGTGGAAGCTGGACCGTACAAAACGCATAAGATGCTGATGCTTGGCAGCTTCCTTGGCCTACTGGCTTACACGCACGACCACGCCTTCGTGACATCTTTGGCACAGCTTTCGTGGAGATTTTCCATGCAATAGACCCAAGGGCTCAGAAGTTAGCCTCTCGCAGCTCATACGTTCAAGGTTCAAGAAGTAAGGGCTACGGCTGACGCAGGGACTCACGATGACTCACGCTTCACGTGGCTTACGGCTCAAGGCCATTTAGGGCTCACAAGAGCAGACGTAGCAACCTCGGAGCCAGGCTCACAAGATGATTGAATCGTGTTTTTGTTTGCTCAACTTTGGGTAAGAGTGCTGTCATTTCGCGCGTTAGTTCGAGGAGCTGTCACGCACCCTTTGATCCTTCTCAGATGACCGGAGCGTGTAAGCCGAAGACCACAAGACTCACAAGACCTCTGGAAGAACCCGCATGATCACATCTTGCGGTGTCTTCGACTTCAAAGCACGAAACGTCTCAGCAACTCGGGCTCCCGACATGCACATAGGCCTTGAAAAAAGGGCACCCAGGGCACATCTCACTGCAAGCATCTCGAATGCGCTGCCGATGAATCCTTCGCACAAACTGCCTTCGCAGCCAGAAGTGCTGTCACTGCTGGACGATTTCCGGAGCGAGTCGCGTGCATCAGTACCTGATGGACTAGTTGATCTGTCACACCAACTGAAGCACGAAACTGCCCTCCATGTTCGGATAAGATGCTCGGTGCTTTTGCCTCGCCTCTTAGCATGCCTTCGTCTTAAGAAATGCCAAATCTGTGGGGCACCGACATGCCAGAAGCGTCCTGCAGCGGCCCATTCGATCTATTGATTGATTGAACAATGATTGTCTGCAAAAACACACGGGGAGGACCAAGAATTCTCGGTCTCGTGCTAGTTACCAGTATTTGCAGCTGCTGCTGCTGCTGATACAGCTGCTGCTGCTGCTGCTGCTGCTGCTGCTAGTCGGCTCGGCTCATTTCCATGTCACCACTGTCCAGAGCAAATCAGATTCTAAGTCATGTTCTGTTGTGCTAGGATGCAAGCAAGGAACCCTTCAGAGTTCTCGCAGTCATGGTGCGAGGACGTTTGAGGACGACAGTGCTGTGGAGATGGCTGGACAATCGGGCTGGACAGTCGGCAGCTTTGGGAATGCAAGTCTGCAAGAATAGTTCCACAGGCGAAGAATAGAACTCGAGGGGCAGATTATCACAAATGCCCAAGTCTTTTTCAAACTTGAAATTCAATCTCACCCGTAGAAGACGACAATTGCCAGGGCGAAGTGTCTGAAGACCTGAGATAGTGACGGACAGGTCGGAGGCCATGGGGCGAGTTCATCCACGAAAGATGGGGACAGCGACGGAACTTCTGTCGCTTGCCACATTCGGTGGCTCAACGACCAGATGTGCTGCACAACCCAACTCCCAACAAGGCGTGGGGCGGTGTTTCGATTGGGGTGCTTACAGAACCGAAACTCAGCCCCTTCACAAAGGTATCCTTGAGGTCCACTGCGCTGATGATTGATGCCATGTCCTGGCGTACAGTACCATGAGTTGGGCATGTCGCTTAGTGCACTTCTAGTGTCTTTGAGTCGTCCTAAGTCCCAGAATTGTTCCGGACACCACCTGCCTCGCTACACGAATGACAAGTTCAAGAAAGAATTGTAACTGTTCTTATGCCACAACTGAGTTGTGGCATGACAATCCAGCAGTGCTCCTCCATGCCTCGCACGTCGGGATCGAGCAGCCCAGAGTGGGCGAGCCTGAACAAAAGTTGTCATCACCGCCTTGTTTCTGAAACTGGCTGACAATGTCAACAAGACGTGCGACACCCAAGATGGCACAACATGTCAGAACTTCCTGCTGGTGCAAATTGGAGAGACCCCAAGCTGCGGGCTCCACACTCCAGTTTGGCGTAGAGCTTTGTATAGCTACCTCAAGGCCCAAGGCTAGGGCGAGAAGCGATCTGTTTCGAGGTGGCCTTTGAAGACCTCCCAGCTGCTCTGAGGCAAGGTCCCGCAGTGGTCGTTTGGGGAGACAAACGCTGATGGCTCCGAGCTCAGTTCCTCACATGAAAACTAGGAGCATCTGGTCCAAAGGGCATTCCACGAGGGAATCGGAACTCAGGCCGCGGCTGTCCGTCGACCTGAAGCGATTCGTCTCGCATCAAATGCATGAGCACAAAACATGAACAAGACGAACATCGCGTTGGCGGGGGCGTTGCTGAAGAGCAGTGCAATCATGCCCACGATGTGCCGTTGACTCATTGACTTGTAAATGCACGTTTTGCTGTTCGGGCGAAAGCTGCATGCCCAAAAGCTGAGCACGGGATAGCACGGGGCGAGACAAGCTTTACAGTAATTTCATTCACGTGCAACTCCACCGAGGCTAAACAGCGATGTGCGGCAGCGTGGAAAAAATCGGAATCCAAAGAGGATGTGCTTTAGCGACGCAAGCCTGTTCCGAGGCCCCGGGTCCTAATTGGTCCTAGCCGCTAGCCTACCAGCAGACATATTTGCCAAGCTGGGCCGGTAGCATCTTGCTGCCGCAGAGGGGAAAATCGAAGGCACGAGTGTGTCCTGAGCTTCGCGTTATTCTCGCAAACCCGGATATGCCCAAAAGTGCAGTTGCCCTCTGGAGAGGATCGGATAGAGCAGCGCGCAGTCGTTGAAGCAGTCGTGGGCCACGCAAGCACGCCCATGTGACAGAGGGCGTAGGCCCAACGCCCGATGTGCTTGGAATTCCGTCGATCCTCAAGGTCCCTGCGCCCGCAGGTTCGTTGCTGTGGCCTATATCAGTCCATACCACCACCCGCGCGCTACGCAGAGCAGAGCTCACTGGCAAGACCTGCAAGTTACCGGCTGACTGCAGCCAGCTCAACAGAAGAGGGACTTCCGTTATCCAAGGGCCGTCCACGAGTCTCAACCACCAGAAAACCTTGGAGTGGCAAACACTGTATAGATAGACAGATAAATAGACAAGATAGATAGATGTATAGGCAGATCGACAGATAGCTAGATAGACAGGTTGATTCATTGACAGACACACAGACAGAAAGACAAGTAGACTCTGTGCGTGTGTATTTCTTGTTTCCTGGACTGTCAAGCTGATGGGGGCTCTCCCTTACATGCATGCCGAAGCAAGCCAAGATGCTGGACGCCACAGAACCTGCAAAGGACGACCGGTGAACAAGAGAAGGACATGCTCAAGGGCTAAAGAGCATTTGACATGCCTTTACCGTACCACCACATGGGCCTTGCTATGTCACCCTGACTTCCCCGGCCTAGAAGTGACAGGAGAACCAGGCCTGGCCAGAGGACAAGGTTTGTCTGCGCACCACAAGGGCTGAGAGGAAAATCTGCCAACAAACTTGCCAGAACCTCTCAACAGGAACGGAAGCGCACTGTTGTGCAGCTGGTAGCCAATGCCATATACAGTAGGTGCCTGACAAGCCGATTCAAAATTTCTATTCCACGGCGGGAGACAACCCATCTCTCTGCCAATTGCGATTAATGCTGTGCAGCTGCTGCAATGGAGCCCAGTCTGCCGACGCCCATGCAGAGCCCAACCCCAGATGCTCGCACAGAGACCTTGGGTCTGTCTGAAACCGCAGAGTCAGACTGCCGTCCACAGTATCGGCATGCCTGCGTTTACACCATTTCCCGCTCTTTGTGCTCCACCTCCCAAGGGCTGTCAAAGAGGCCGTCATGGTGTTCGAAGATACTTTAGCTGATGTCGCAACAGCGTCAGCTGGATTCTTGTCAGCTCCCTACTTCTGTGACACAGTTACTCATGTTGAGGCACCTGGAAATACTACCGTGGCGAGGCCTCTAGTCAACCCATGCTCCCTGGTCCCTGCACTGTATGTGTATATTTATATTAATCTATATATTCATATCTATTTACAGTTATTGATCTACATACGAGTAGGTTGTAGATCGGTTCCGAAGCTTGGATTCGCTGCCTTCAGTCTAGCCGCCGGCAGGGCCTCGGAGATGTACAGAAGCAGAAAGGTGAACATGATGATAACCACAGCCTATGCAAACCACAAGGGTAGCGGCGGGTAGCGAAATCAAGAAGCAGGTCGAGGGGTGTGCTCACAGATAAATGGCACGCGGGGTCTAAACGTTCCCTCTGAAATCCGTCCCAACAAATGTGCTTCTGGTTTGCTCGCGCACTTGTTCAGGTTTGCAAGATTTGGCAAGCGCTGTCCAGCTCAGAGTTCTAAAGCGAACGGTCTGCACTCGACAATCCTGCCTTCAAGGCATAGGCTGCAGGATCTGCCACGTAGAAAGCACCGTAGTCGGCGCCTGGTACAAAAAGGGCGTCTCGCAAGCCACGATGATACATAGTCTGCCGACTGCCCAAAAAGAACTCTGAAAAGGTCTGAAATTCTCCGAAGCCGGGCGACTCGTCAGCGCAGCGCTGCAGAGGGCTGAGGCCAGACAGAGCAGCTGCAGCGTCCTGATGCGGCCTCGGCAGTACCACCACTCAGCTTCAGATTCAGTCTTTTTGACACCATACCAACCTCGGCATCCTAATCGACAATCTGCGAGCAGAACAAGGGCAAATGCTACAAAGCCGGCTAAGACCAGGGCCCAAGGTTGGATGCAGCAACAGGAGCCATGCGAGAATGATGCCAACGAACTCTGCACCAGAAATGATGAGCATTTCCATGGCAGGACTAGTCCAGTCCCCTGACATCTCAGCAAAGATCCTCGGCGCTCTGCAATGGCATGCAAACGGCGCACTTTGCTGAAGCTGACACTACCTAACGCTTTGCATGGTTGTGCATGTGCGATCACAGCAAGCGCACCTGTGCATACTTTCCTATTCTGTAAGGGGTCCTGCGTGTGTTTGCACTGGGAACTTTTCAGGAGAGTGCAATCGAAGGAGAGCGCATCAGTTGTACTTCGGCACAAGGTACCACGAACTGCAGCAAGCAAGCCGGAAAAATAAACAAACGATGATAGATTCAGATGACGATAGCAATGTGACAAGTGCACGGCACCTGACTCAAACCATAGCCAGCCAGGGCACTGAGTAAACGCCTCGCAGTTTGCGTTTTGAGAATAGGACACAGCAAATCAATCGAGCAATGCCATGCTCGATGCCAGGCGAGTCGCAAAGGTAGTCCCGTAGAACAGATAGTTCATTAGAAAGGCCAGGTAAGAGGCCAGCACAATGGTCCTGCAGGCATCCGAGGACATCAGCCGCGCTACTTAGGTTTCGAACGCATGCCGGCATATTCGGAAACACATCAGCCTTCTAATTAGCATTTTAGACGATTCGTTCTTTCAATGAGCTCTCTGCGCGGCTCCTGCAATGACCATCCCGGACAATGGCGTGCCAAGCGGACGACAGGGTCGCTGATGCGGCAGAAGATGTCTTCTGGACCTGCATAAAGGCATAAAGTTCGCTCTGAAACGCATCAGTGTCTGTAGCGCTCCGTAGTTTAACAAATGGCTCACATGGATGGCGCGCGACCTCGATGTCGACGCCGCTCTTTCCATGAAGGCGCTGTATCTTAGCCTCTCATGCGAGCTCTGCGGGAGCCCGCCGCTCGCCCGCATGTTCACGGCACTGGCTCCGGAGGCTGGGTTTCCGGGCTAATAGTTCGTCGAGCTCTTTGTGCTTCCCACAAAGCTGCAGCCAGCTGGGCGACTCCTGCACCAGGAATCCTGGGGCCCCAGGCCAAGAACGAATCTCAGAAGGCATCTCACAAAAAAGGCCCGCAACCAGCCTAGCTCCGTGCCAAGGCACCCAGCGGCGTCATGAGGAAGGCTGGCAGAACGCTCCAAAGGCACAAGAGCCTCCAAGGTCCCTGGCGACACAACAGCAAGCCACAACAGCTTTGACTCACTTTGCTGCCGCATGCATAATTGCAACGGCCAGAACTTCTGTTCTGTCAGCATCGACATCTACATAGGCAGATACACCTGCAGCCACTTACTCATTAGAAGCTTGCTGGTCCGTCTGAGTAGTTCGACATGGTGTGTGACGATAGGTTTAGTTCCCAATTCCCAACTACTCTCTCTATCGTCCAAGGGTTCTGAGTGCCCCCGCTTCCCGGGAAGGTTTTCCACTGAGAAAGTCAAAAGCTTTCGTAATTGCAAAGGCACCTGGAGGTTTGGCATGAAGAGGAGGAGGCCAAAAGCAGTCCAAGCCTCTCCAAGCCTGACTCCCACCACGTTTACTAAGGACACGGAGAGCTTGCTCTACGACATGTCTGGCTTCGTACGCTATTGGCCAGCGTGGACAGAGTGACTCCACCGTCGTCTGCACAGGCAGCTTTCAACAACAGCCAGGCAACACGAAAGCGAAGCCAGTTGCGTTGGAGAGTGCCCCCCTCTGCTCAGTCGGGGTAGCCTGTGCCACACATGGCGAAATTGTGGGATTCGGGAGACATGAGCATCAGCCGCACAGTCCGCACGATATCAAAACCCTGCTTGTCGAAGGAGGAGTGCTTAGCTGTGCCACGACTGGTGCATGTTAGTGTTGCAAGTTGACAATCGCCTTCATCATGTTGTATGTTGCCTCCCAAGGAAAGCTCCGGAACTCTCCAGCTGCCAGTGGCACGAAGCTAGAGACTGCGCGCGAGTTTGATTGATCCAGACTTGGATGCCGCTTCCTGTTTCTTGCATATGAAACTGTGCTCTTTGTAGCCACCGTCACACGACAATGGCTGTAAAGACGCGGGTCTATAGTCCAAAATGTGCACGGCAAGTCGAGCAAGCATTACTAAGCAACGTAAAATTAGGTAATAAAACCAATCAACACCATAAGCAGGATCTGTCAATCGTGGCAACGGAGGCGAGCAAGCACATAGCAGCACATTCAGAATGTTAGGCTCTTCGTGCCTCGGTCAGTAGTGTCACCGCAGATGGGCCGCCGATGCCGATAGCGCAGCCCAAGCTGATCCTGAGCCGAAGGGCGCCGACATCAGAATCTCAGGGCTCAGAGATGTAAGCTGATTTCTCGGGAGGCCTAGCAAAAAGACTCCCCTGTCACTGTGTCAGGTCTGTTGCAGCTTGCACGCATCGTGGCGAACGTGACTCCCAAACATTTGGATTCATCCCGTGAGCCTCTCATGACATGAGAGCTGATAATTTTCGGGATTCAAAGAATGCATCCAGACAGGTGGCTGCAAGAAGAACAGCTGGCCGATGCTCTGCACAATCCTGCAGTCGTGATCACGCTGAGCCCAGACCGAGCAGAGCGGCCCTTGCAGCCAAGGCCACGAACAGAGGAGGCCGAAGAAGCTGACGAGCCAGAGCGAAAGAATGCAAATTCGTCGGCGTCCAAACCTGGCAACGGAACCCACCGGTGAAACGAAGGTGCTTCTTGCATTGTCTTTCCCCAAGCTCGCGACTCGCGCCTGGTGCTCAGAGGCCCGCTGAGCAAATTTCCCATCTGCATGCCGGCAAAGGAGGTCGACCTGGTCTCTTTTGCCAGATGGACGCCCGCGCCCCGTGGGTCGTGGACTCTGGGAGCCGGGCACCAGGAGGCCCCTGGCCAGTCGGCCCAAACGAAGCTCGGGGCCCAGGGCAGAGACGATGGCAGAGATGAGCCTCGATGATTTAGCTTTTAGGACTTTTAGGGCCTTTGGCAGCGGCACCGGAAGACTGCTTTGCACGCAGCCATGTGGCAGCATCTCGGCGCCATCAGCAAGCATGACTCCGGAGCAGAAGAGAGCAACCAAGACGTGGTAAAGACCAACCTTGGGAATAAGTGGAATCGTCGTCTTTGCTCCTAGCATTTAGAAGCTTCTCCTGCATGGTGCGCAGCTTCCGGAGAGTCGACAGCTGGGCATCTCACGCCCAAATCGTCGAGAACCTTCAATGATCTATTGGACTGCAGGGTGCACTGACGTCCACTGTTTGCGAACCTTCTCTTGTTGAGTCACTTCTTCTTGCGAAGTTGTCCGGCCGAGTGGCTGCACTCAGGTCTCGGCCCGTGCTTGCCATGGCGGCGACCGCTGAGGTTTGTAAAGAAAGCTTCTGGACTTCTGGATTGTCTTGTCAAACGATACGTCCTTGCGCTCGGCATGGATGTCCACCGGCTCTGCTGGATTCATTGCACAGGCTCAAGCCAAGCTCCCCCGACGAGTGTACGTGCCCACCCAAATTCCGCATGGTTCGGCAAACATTTTGAGAATTCTGAGGCTCCCGCGTTCCCGATCCAACGTGGAGCTTGCACTTTCCACCGGAGTTGACGCGCAGTAGCATCAACCACAACCTCAATCCGCATGGGTCCTGGAATTCCACACTCTGCAACTCAGTGTCACGGATGAGACTGCAGCCACTCATCGTCTGTACCAAGCTTCTCCGTCCTGCGCAAAACGCTGGGCAACGGGTTGCATGGACATATGGTGGTCAAACCGTGCATCTCCACTCATCTCGAACGTCTCTCAGTCCTCACGGGCTCTTGCCCGGAGGCTGACAGCAGCCACCTTCAGAAATCACCAGCCGGCCCGGTTTCCCATTGGACCCTCGGCTGAGGCTTGCTGAGGCCAAGGCCTTTCATCGATCTTGGCCAGGGCCGCGGGCTCGGACGCCACGTCGTGGCCTCAGGTCGCTTCTCGACTCCAAAGTGGGCAGCGCGCCAAACTCCGGAATCTCTGAGTCAACAGCTGCCATCAGAGACGTGAAAAGCCAACTTGACGTTGCGGTCATGCTGTGCACCTGCTCACCAAGGGTCAGCTTGTTCAGCACTCTGTTCCACGGCCTCGTCCATGAACATCTGGATCATCCACTTCAATCGCTTCTTACAGCACCATAATGAAATCAGCCTACTCCGGCCCAACCGACGCTACCCTCACGGCAAGCAGAAAGACTTACGGGACAGAGGCGGCCTTTGGACTTCAGGTGCATCCAGATGCGCAGGCCCTGCTTGAGGGCAAGATCCTTGCATCTTACGCACATGGAGGGAAGCAATGTCGCGGACACAGGCATCTAGTGTCCACTTCCATGATGACCTCTTTTGCTAGCCGCCAGCCCTAGTGTAACTCATCCACTCGGGCCGGGTCCCCGTGCTGAGGCCCGGACCCACCCTACATCCTGCCTAAGCTATAGGTGGGGAAATGCAATCACATGGACTGACGTGTGCTGCAAGTGCTGCCGTGGGATGCAAGACTGGGCCTGCTGCCACTCGGAGGAGAGAGTCAGCGTCCTGTGCCTGAGATCGAGTGCTGAATGCATAGTACACTGCACAGAAAAACCCGAATGTCAGCTACAGCTGCCGATCGAGGCAGTGGCTGTAGCATTGCCGACAGCAGAAATACCTTGTCGGCAGTGGCCACAACTGGAGCTGTGAAGCACAGGGATGACTCCCTTGAATCTCCGGATGTTGCAAACGAGTGAGCTCAGGCAGTTCGAAGCTGTTTCGAGCACCGGCTCGCCTCTGCCGCATCTGGCAAAGGCTGAACAGACGTGTCCTGCAACCAGACGAGAAATGAAGCAAAGCCACTTCCGACCCTCCCTGGGCTTGCCGTGAGGCACAGACAGATCTAGCCGGGCCGCTCGATACGCTGCCACTTGTGGCCAGGGCCATCACAACCGCCCTTCACCCGTCCAACCTCTTCAGGTCTAGCTCTCCTCGCACTGAGACAGCACTGGAGTTGCTTCTGCCTTCAGCTCGCAGCGCTCCTTTCACGCCGCTGCGTCTGTTCCAAGAGCCGCTGACGGATCTAGCACGAGGCGGTTGTGTTCTGAAGCGAAAACCAGAAAATGCGATCCTTCGGCTCCCGGCCTCTGCCCAGTCTGAGTCCGGCTGGGACTCCCAGGCCAGGAGTTCCGTCCGCTCCATCTCCTGCACGATGCCAAGGCAGCGAGCTGAATTCCAATGGAGCTGGCATGAGCTGGCAATACGCGTGCGATTGCAATCACTCTCAGTTTCACCGGCCCACTGCAGACCGTGCGCTCTGGGAGCTTCAGAGCGGGGATTTGTGCTGAGCGGCAGGACACTGCCGATTTCACCTACCCTGGCTTTGCCAGGCCTCTGAGAAAACAAAATGGCCCAGTTCGATTCTGGGGATTCCTGGCTCGCAATGCCTCGCATGCAATTTCAACGGTTCAGCGAACTAAAATCAAAGATCTATCTGCGCTTCATCCCTCGACCTCAAAGGTCTGCACATGCAGTGCCGGGCCAAGCACGAAGGCTTCGAGGATTCGAAGAGCCGGACCCGGCAGGTCCATTCCCGACGGGCCCGCAAGGCTGTGCAGGAATCGCACGGCCAAGGCATCCTGTGCGAGCACCTCGGAGCAAGCAAACTCCACGGAGCCTCCACGACTCCTCCAATGAATTCTTTGCTGTTTATCTTCTCGCCAGTTCTTTATGATCCTTAGCAGCTGCCTTCTTATGTGCTTCCCTCCAAAAACCCCGGGCCTCCGGTAGCGTGCACCACTGCCGCACCTTAGACGTCTCTCTGCACGTTGGTCTCTCCGCGCCTATGACGCCTACAGTCTACACGGCCCAAATTCGAGATGTTTGCGTGTGCAGGTTTGCGGATCCGAGGCCGTGACCATCTCCATCTGCGCCGCCCAGATGCTCAAAGCCGACGGCTTGGAGTCGGAGGCGCTCTGGTCAAGGCCGTCCAGGCAGCGCCCGCGCGCGTCGCACACGTCCAGCGCATAGTCAGACAGAAGCCAGGGTAGGTGCCTGCCAGGGCTCTGGGCAAGCCTACACAAGCGTCATGATGCCTCATGTTGTTTGGCTTCGTCCTTTACGACTGTCTGCCTAGGCGTTCTTTGCATTGCGGGCGTGCATGGTTGGTACGTAGGTTACGGTTCAGGAGGTTAGGCTCAGGCTTCAAGGCTCAAAGATGCTCAAAGTTGAGGTTGACAATGCAACCAGCTTACAAGAGTTCTGGGAGGTTCACATTAAATTCTGGGTTTAGTGGGTATGCCGCTGTGTCATAGCCAATTACCACGTGCCTCATGCGCAGATACATGCAGTGGATTTCATTGCGCACCATGTTGATGGCGGTGCGGGTGTTCATGCCTAGTAATAGCTTGACCACCTCAAGGCACTGCAGCTTCACAGGTCGCAGGAGCTGCTCGCGTGGGAACTCACGCACCACACGCCGCAGCAGGCACGTTTCCAGCGAAGCTGGAAAAGGACCCCGTTGCTCGTGCTGGAACTGCTGCAAGGCCTCCTCCTTGAACTTGTCCCGCAGACCAGCGTGCAGGGCTATTTGGAGCTTGTCCATGTTCAGCCGGTCAGAGAGCTCGTTCCCAAAGCCCAGAAGCTTGTGCATGCGGACTTGGCACGTGACCCCGTTTGCGACCAGGAGCTGCACGGTCTCCAAGAACTGGGGCCAATCGTCTTTAAGTAGGTGGCTAGAGGGCCAGCAGATCATGGCGTCGAGCAGTGAGTTTCCAAAATCGTCTCGCAGCAACGACAATTCCTGACCATCTGCAACCGCCTTCTTGACCGCGCCGAGGTCAACGATACAGCGCAAGCCGTGTCGAAGATGATGATCCTCTCTACATATGTACCGCCATTCGGATGACATGACTGGCAGAGGCTGCGAGGCTGCGAGGGCTTGATGTTAAACAGGCTGAGTCGAAAGCCAAGCACCTCCTTGTGCGGTCTCTGCAAATGCTCAGGGGACTGGCATCGCCCTGAAAAGGCTCCTCCGCCTCCTCCGCCTCCTCCGTTCCTGGGCCTGGGTCCGACCAACGAACTGCAACAGCGTGGTCGCCCTAGCCCCCGAGGCTCCAGCTTGCAGCGCCTTGGGCTTGCGCCGCACTGCGGATGTCCTGCCGTCTTCTTCCGTAGGGCATGAGGGATTTGTCCACCAATCCCTCGGGCTCCATGCCGTCTCTCTCTTTCGCAGGAGTTCGAAAACGTACGTCCTGTGGCAGAAGTTCGGTTCCCAGTCCTGCTCACCGGTGCAAGCAACTGTGCTGCAGGGACTGCTGCGACTTTCCAAGCAGAAGCAAACTTCAAACAGCACTGGAGAAAGATCCTTCGAAATGAAGCTCAACATCAGAGGACTCCGAAGGAAGTGAGCTGCTGCCTCAGCAACTCAGCATTGAATGCAGAATCAATGAATAAAGTTGCATGTCTCCGGGAACATGCAGGACATTCCTGCGACGCTGCCGAGACATCCTCGCTGTGAGGCCGGAGCCCAAGGGAGGCGCCTGGTGAAGCGGAATGCAGCAGGACAGCTCCTGTGCCCACCTCGGGTCAGAGGCGAGAACTTGGGCCAGCGCTCGGTTCTTTAGGATGCGGAGTTGCCGCAAGAGACGCACAGGATAGGTCGGGAATGACCGACATTAAAGCTCCGTTGCTGCCATTGCCAAAACCAGCGACACAAAGACAGCGCGAGTAGTCGGGAAGCAGAACTATGCAGCACCCGAGCAATTCCAAAGCTTGGTCATCCCACTCTCCATGGGGTGCCACACCGCGGAGGACCGCGGCGACTTCCTGCCAGGTGCCGGTTGCAGCCATGTAGGCTCTCGAAACACTTGGAATTGCTTTTTCATGAAGCCTTCCAGCCGTGCCTCGGGGCCCTTGGCAAAGAACGCAGGCTCTCGCCGCGTGGTCCGCCAATGCCTCCCAGGTCAGGACTGCACAGACGGCACACCCTCGAGGGTGAAGCAGCTGCAACGTGTCACTGCAGCTTCGCTGTGGCCTCCAAATACTGGATGGAAGAGGCCTCATCGGGAATCGACTTGTGCCAGCAAACCCGCACACTAGGGCACTCCTTTTTGACTTTTTCAAAGCTGATAATGCTTGACAAACTCCTGCTCTAGCTCGTGCAGGTCATCAGCGCAAATGACCTGGGTGCTGCTGCAACACTAAGGACAGTCAAAGACAAGCACACCATTGAACCTCCACCTCCGTGCTTGTGCCTTCAAGGCACCAGGGAGTGGAGTGGACCTCCAAACTCGGCCTCAGCAAGCTGCTCCACCGGCCCCGCTCGGATCACCTGCAGTGCTACAGCGGTGCAGCTGCTACATCAGCTTTCTCCAGGGCGGACAGGTCTGCAAGGCTTTTGCATGCAAAATTAACGAAAATTGTGGATGTTGAAATTAATGAAGCTCACGAGGCTTGATTTGGTGGTGATGGCAAGGATCAAATTCACCGGCACTTTCATGCTGGTGCAGTACTCACAAGAGGCGCTACTGCTGATGATGTTGGTGACGTTGCTGGCGGTGGCTGCAGTGATTGCAGTGATGCTTATCCTAGTTCCGATGCTGCTGTCTGTGATTTTGGTGGCACTTCTGCTAATGGTTGAATATTGCAATGATGGTGGTGGTGGTGGTGGTGATGGTGGTGGTGAGCATCATCAGCATAATAATCTTCTCTTCGTGGTCTTGGCTACGAGATGCACTTCAAATTTCAGGCTGATAGATGACCATGCTCCTGTATGCGTGAAGCTCACTGCGAAGCCCCAGACATCTGCAACCGCTGTTGAAGCAAGAAAGCATCCAGCCCAGAGAAGGACAGGCGTACGCGACGACAGCAGAGGGAACTACATTCACAATATTATGGTACAATGCAACAGACATCGGTGGGGTCAGATGGTTGCTTGACGGACCCTAGGGGAGGCATGATCATCTCCTTCATCATCAACCTCATTATCATGTTGAAGGCTGGCGGTGGCCATCGTGATGGCTCCGACCATGGGAACGAAGATGGCGACGACGATGATGACAATGCTGTCACTGTAGCTGCCGGTTGCTGTCACTGGATACTCGTCTTAGCCTCTTTGTCAACATGGTTTGAGTATACTGCTTATCATCGTGCTTGCCGTGCATTGCTCAGCTGCTCCCTTGGATGTGCTACTGACCAGTGACTCTCGATTCTACTGCTCAGGCGCACTACTGCTATCAATACCAAAGCAGTACTAGCACCAGCAGATGGTGAGCAAGTCGATCCTCAGATCCCTGAAGTGAAGCATAAATCATAGCAGGTCCCAACACTGGGCATCGCACCTGGTCCTCTCGCCCCAGGCGCGCTAATCCGAAGGCTATGCCTGCTGAGACGCCCTCAGCCTTGGCCTCAGGGCGCAGCGGTCAAAAGGCTGTTTGTGACTTGAGTTTGTAGCTCACTGAATAGAGAGTTGGGCGGCCTTCTCAACTTCCACAAGTTGCTCCAATGCCTGACTCACCTGATGCAGGTCAGGGGCGCTGTCTCGCTTCCTACTTCCTAGCTGCACGCCAACACTGATACCACCGTTTTCTGCTGTTCATGCTTCTGCCTATGAGGACTAAGTCAATCCGCTCGACAGTACTTGCAGGACCGGCGAACTCTGCAGGCTGAAAAGGTTGCACGTCATCTTCGGCCAGACTCAAAAACTGCGCAACTTGGCGACAAGCCACGGTCATGAAGCGAGGGGGCTCATAGACTTTCCTCCCTCGCATCAGGTTTTCGACCTTGCCGAAGACACAGGGAGTAGAAGCAGCTTGGGCAGCCTTTCTAGACGCGGGGCAGATTGCTCCTTGACTTTGATGTCAAGCAGGCAGAGCGTGTGAAGCCCCGCTTTTTTGTTCTTCAAAATCTTGTCCTCGGAGCTCGTTGACAGACCCGACTCTGACCAAGCTATTCCGTCGAAATGAAAAGCTTGTCGAGAAGTGTTGCCGAGTACAGACCTGGCGTCGTACCAGCTGTCAGGCCGCCAGCCATCCTGCCAGAACGGTATCGACACCGTCTCGCCGAAACGATAGAGCTGCAGCCCACAGGAAGCCACTGCGTTCATCACCTTGGTCATTGCAAGAGATCAAGCATCATCACATTGTCACGAAGACCCGAAGCATAGTAGCACAACTGCTTCGCCACTTGGCTGCTGACAGAGGCGTTGTGGATCACCCGCACAGGAATCTCCCGCTGCCTGGCAAGCGCACTGCGCCCAGACTTAGGGCCTTAGGGGTCTCAAACACTCGTCTGCAATCTTGCAATCCCTGGGCCTTGCTCTCAGCCACAGGTCGGTGTGAGTTGTTGCACAAAGCGGGTCTCCCACCACCAGAAAACACCTCAGCGGCAGAACAACTTCTGCGTGCAGCCTCGTCCATTGGCCCGTCTGCACTTCGAGGCACACTTCTTGATCCTGCACAGGGGCGTGATTACTCTAAGACCCCCAAGAGAGCTCGGAGACCTGGATCCCCCCAGCTGCGAGCAGCTCCCAGCACTACGCCCGAAGCTTCCAAATCCCGTGCAAGACGGCGGCCTTTGCTCTTTCCAGCATCTCCTCACAGCCGCTCTCCACCAGCTCGCGATCTGCCTCCAGAATCTCTGGTACTCCATACCTGGCTTGCAAAGGCCTTCCGAATCTGGGAGCTTCGTGGATTTCTGCTTCATGGACACAGGGTCGGTGCGTGCATCTATGCTACAGTTACAGAGGGTGACACTGGCACTGAGACGCCTTTGATGCTTCAGGGCTGGTGCTGAACCGCCAACCGTAGCGGGGACCCTTTGAATGTTTATTGTTGTATTATTCTATTACTATATAAGTATATTATATATTATTAATTATATTGTTGTAAACCTTTTCTTGGGTCTGGCCGCGCAGCTGCCAGCGTCTCTCTGTCCAGCCCTGGCAGGATGGACGTGTACCTTGGGCGCAAGGTCTCAAAGCAGAGTCTTCTGAATTGCCTTGTCTTGAAACGCTGATGAAGCAGCAGCCTTAAGTCACATGATCGTACAAACCTCAAAACTGGAATCTTGGTCAGATATAGTACCTCTTCTCTTTGATCTCTTGCCGAGGTCAGGGGCTTCCCTTTCTGAATCCCGGAAGCTTTCGAGACCAGGCCACGCTTCCAAGTAGATGTAAGCGCTCCTCGGGGCCCAGAATCAGATCAATCTTTCCATAGGGGCGTACCAGTAGCAAGGGGGCCATAGGTGAGATTGAGAGGATCTGTGACACATGCCTTGCTGCTTCACTCCTCTCATGACGGTCAGAGATCCGCTTACAAGACTACTCGTGCAGTAGGGGCAGCAGATTCACTGGCTTCTGATGCCCAGGCTCTGTTGCACCGCCTTTAAGCCCTTCACGGAGATGTCACCCTCGTCGCCCAAGCCCAGGCCGATCATCCACAGCACCATGGCGCCAAAGGGACGTTCCAGAAGGCTTCGGGTTTTCTGAGTGTGCTCTTCATGGACCTGCAATTACATTCGCGAACGATGTCGGCACTCGCAGGCGGGAGAATCCTTCGAACTTTGCTAGCAATGTGATCTTCCAAGAGCGGTGAGGGCACCATTCGATGTTCGGTCTGGGGTTAGTGAATGCACCAGTGAACTCAGGTGCGGAGCTGCACAACTTCCGCTTCAATGATCCTTGCTGCCATGTCTGCCTTTGCTCTAAGGGCAAGGCTCGCCGTCGCTAGCGAGCTGGCCTGAGATCGCGGAAAGCTCTGCCCACCCTTGCTCTTGACTTTGTCGTTGGACTCCGATGCTGTCTCCACTGTCTGCGACTGCTTCCCCGAAGCCTTTCGACAGACCACTTTTTAACTTCCATGTCCGTCCACTATCCGCGCACAAGTCCGAGGCGAGCAACTGGGAGCCGGGCAAAACTCGTTCCAGGTGCAGTAGTGATAGGACAGCCTGCGGATGCAGAAGATGGCAAGTACCGCAACAGAAAGCGCTTTTGAATGACATTTTGGGAATCCGGTACATCATGCCCAAAATGCTCTGTAGGGTAAGCTGCGCCGGTACACCACTGACAGATGCTGCCGAGGGGCTCCGTATCGAACTCGACATCGTCGCAATCTACCCTGGGACAGCGATTTGCCGAAGCCGTGCATATACCCAAGCAACAATTGAGTCAACCGGGCACCCGGCAGCAGTGCCTGCCCGTGAATGACCACTCCAGCCACATGTCGCAACACCACTCTGCCAAGGACCCGATCCTGACAGCAGATAGGATGCGATGCAGACAAGGACAGGCTCAAGTAATGCCATCGGCGACTTGCAATGAAAGAAGCTGCTACACGTCGGATAGCCTGCAGATGTTTGTTGCTGAGGAGAGTACAAACTCGAAGCCGTAACCGTTGGGCAGCGAAGCGCTGCGTAGCATCAGCAGGCTGATCTGCGAAGTCTGTGAAGTGAGACCTGCTCACCAGAACTTGCCTAGCTTTGCCCATCTCAGCAGAAGGCAACAGAGTCCATCCCGATTGAAGCCCTCGACTCGCCAAGAGGACTGATGAACCGTGGCAAAGGTCGCCTTTGTGTGAACTGCCACCGGCATCTATCCACTCCTGGAAAGCAACTAGACTAGTCGCTCTCCTACGCCACATTGCATGCAGAGCGATTGCAGAGAAGTGAGCTACAGCGACTCAAATCAGTTCAAGTTCAAGGGAATCAAACGTCGCTGCGACATCTCGAGATGTTGTCCGAGGAATCGGCGGCCAGCGTGGCACACTTGTGCTCCTTCCTGTAATGCATGGGTGACAAGAGGTTGGCAAGGTCGGAAACATAGCTGTGCAAAAACACGTGTCCTGGTAGCAAGACGGCTTGACAAGACGGACCAGAAAGAGGCTCCCAGCAGCATGCTAGATTAGATACGAGGGGAGCCCTTCAAAAGGACCGGGACCCATCTCCGACCAGGCCAAACTTGCTTTTGCGATGCACATCTTTGCTGCTCCTTACCCTGGGCATCTCTCTTTACCCTGGGCATCTCTGCACCTTTCTCCTTCACAAGAGAACCTCAAAAAATCATAGACTGAGATGACATGACGTGAAACCAGGGGTCTGGGTGATGCCAGTGCAGAAAGAATCGTCGTTTTTGTCGGTACTGCTGCTGCTGCTGCTGCTGCCGCTGCTGCTGCTGCTCTTGTTGTTGTTTTCGTTGCAACATGTCATGTTATGAAACTGCATGACTCGAAACATTGCGGGCAAACTTTTTGCAAAGCTCCTGGACCTGGAGCTGTTGGAGATGAGAGCGGCCGTCTCCTGCCAATGGCGGACTGCAATCCCAGGGCCCTGAAAGCAAAGGAACCCTGCGTACTGAAGAGGCCACGAAAGCTAAGGAAAAAAAAGGAACCAGAGTCGACAGAGCTCGGGCAGCGTTGTAGTGCCAGGAAGCTTAAGCCTGCAAGATGATAACATTTATTCTGCTTTACACTGGCCCACATAAAAATAACACCCTTGTCGCATCGTAGTGCCTTGACCGACCTCATTGCGCATCGGAGTGTCCCTGCGTAAGCAACAACTCGGCCATCTACGGGCAGCTTCGATCTGTCCTGGTGGCAGCTTAGCTAATTACTGAGGGGTCGGACGTGAAGCCTTCTACGTAGACGAACTCGGCCACGTAAGCACAAAACGCAAGTTGCCATGTTGCTTAAACAGATGGACCATGAGGTGGGGCGACCAAAGGTGGGGGGGGGCCCTCCTTATTGGCTCTACATGAATCATTTGCGTGGTGGCGCAGGGCCCCCCCTTCCCCCTTCGACTATTGTGAACGGATCAGATAAGGTCCTGCACGTAATTTGACCTAGTTCTCTACTACCTAAGTGAGTCCCGCAAGCTCCACAGAGCTAGCTTTCGTGAAATGCAAATCTCCACGATCGATCGGTCTGCTGAATCTGGTGCAACAGGGGATGTTGTTCCGTGGCTATTCCCAAGAGACAATCCACTCATAGCATGAGAATACATGCTTCCAAAGTCGGGCTCAGCAGACATGGAGCTAACAATTGCCTGAGCAATAACGCGACCACGGACTACTTGTCTCTGAGAACTGAAAATCTGCATTTGTCGAATCCCAAACCACTGTGGCCTGCGGCAACGCACGATCGCCTCGCGGAAGCGGCGGTGCACGAGCGCCTCGCCTTTGCTCAAGGAAACGGACAAGCAAAAAAAGATGTCATGCTAGGGACGCTTTTCTGCTTCTGCAGAAACAATGGGCAAGCACAGCACTCCTGTGTGTTTGTCGAGCATAGCTAATCCGAGCCTCCAAAGGAGGTGCACATTCACTGATCAGATCTGATCAGCAAAACGATCATGTACAACGATTATGGCTTCGCCTCGTGCATTGCAGACTTCTGGGGTGGAAGTACGAAAGCTAGCGCAGCACCCTACAGGAGCAGCGCAGCTCTTGATTTTCATGGCTATGGTACGTAGCAGCAGCAATTCCGCAAAACGGCTGCTGCAGGGAATTCCAGGACAGGAATTTTCGTAGATGGAGAGGGTCGGTGATTTTGTGCGTTGCACAGTGGCTTTGAGAGAGCTACACGGGAGGCTTTCCAGGCTGCAGGAGTCGCGAAGAGCAGCAAATGTGCTCGATACAGCGGCATGTATTCAAACATGCTACGGGCAGCATTTTCTACAGCGCATGTCCGAGAAAGCGCTCTGGGTTGTGTGTTTGTCATCAGCCAACAGAAACCCTAAACGTGAAATCTCAAGCCCTCAGCCCTCACTCTTGACCTGAAACCTGAGCCTAAATCCTATAGTTGCCGTGGCAGTCTAGCAAATGCCGAACCCCCCGGCCATACCGAAACCCGCCCCGTCCCGAGCTGGGCCTTGGCTCCTCTCCCGTTGGCATGACTCCTGCAAGAGCGCATGAACTAAGCTAGCAGATGCGCATCGAACTTGACATGATACAGATAACGACGTGATTCGTACTGCTTGAGGGCCGCACTCCGTGCACGTGACTTCCGGCGCCAACATCAGACCGAGAGAAGCGAGAAGCTTGCCGTTGTCCCCAAGACATTCACGCGAGACTCTTCCAGGGAGCCCTGCCATAACGGACACCTGAAGATGATGCTCTGCCCTCACGTTTCACTTATCAAGTCAAGGTTTGGCACAATGCTGTGTTCAAGGAGGCTTAAGTTCAAGGCTGCGAACATGGGTGGCATCGTTGCTTCTACGCTGCAGTTGCGTCACTCTTTGCATTCAAGGCATGACCACTCTGTGGACTGCCTGCTATGGACATGAGCTGACAGGAAGGGCCAGAGATGAAGTTTGCCAGCTTTAAAGATGTGTGATGCGGGACATGGATCTCAACCTGACACGCTGCAAAACGAGAAGCCGGTGCCTCGTTTATTTTTCGCTAACGGTGGGTCGCCCACTACGAGATGCCAGACATGACAAGACCAAACTGCTGAGCGATGCTAGTGACTATGACGCCAAACCCGACTCAAATCCTAATAATGTGAAACGCATTCCTATGGCTGCATCATCCTACTGCAGTGTCTTGTCCATGCCACTCTGCGTGAAACGCTCACTGCATCGGCAAGAGCAGATCAACCTGCAACTTAGCAAAGTCATGTTGAGGCTTCACAGCTTGCCTCGTGTACAGACGTTGTGGCTTAAACGGCTAAGCTCCAAGAAGCCGCAATAAACGAAGCAAAGAAGCCCGATCCCAGAACAAGATGCACGGTCGTTAAATGCAGGATGCATCCTAGCAGGTCCTAGCATGCTCGAAACAAGTGCGCGACCCTCTCATTGCCACGGCTCGCCTCTTCCGAACCAGACCCAACCAGAAGCTTGGAAGTCTCCGCAGTCGCCTTCCCCGTGCCGCCGCCCTCGCTCGGCTTCTCCACGATTGGAGGTCTCCTAGCACGGCAGACGTGATGAATTCAAGTTCGGTCAGCCAAACGAGATGCTGCGATGCTGTGGCATTTTGCTCTGGTCTCTCTTGTCTTCGAACAGTGTTTGTGGGCGCGGCATCAGGCCGGTGCTGCAAGTTGCGTGTGGGGCAGAAAACTGACCGAGCCCCTTCCTGTCGTGTCATGGTCAACGAATCGCTATCCTCGGGATGCTGGGATCATAACTCCGCCCTTTGCTTTGCTTTGGACTTGCTGGGAAACCTAAGTCTCACCCAACCCCCTGTACTTGCGAAATGGCGCAGCGGCGCCCTGTTCCAGGTTGATAGACTTTAAGCACTCACGACTGCCGATGGCATACATAGCTTCTGCAGCTTTGCCATTGCAACTTTGGGCGTGTGTTGGCAGTCACGCGCTTCTGATGGGCCTCGAGGGGGAATCTCAGAATCCAGTGACACCTGCACCACACTGCCCAAGTGAAAGCGTGCAGCTGGCAGCAGCGAAGAAAGCTGCCAGACGCTGCCAGCTGTGATTTTTGCAGAGCCAAGGCTGAGGCGATCTTCCCTCGGGCAGCTTCACCTTCACAGACGGGCCCCGAGCCGAGGCCGAGATCGGTCATGACAAGTGTGACGCGCATGATTGCGGCGGTGATCCTGGGATACTTAATTCTCCTCTTCCTCCGAACTTGTGACGACTTGTGCAACACGCCAGCTTCCGCCTGTCCGTTCCAACTGGCGAAGTTGCTACCTCGAAAACTTGCTCGGCAGGGTTATGGCTTGCAAAAGTGTTTGCTAAGGTGTCTGCCAAGTGCTGCAACGCTATGGCATAATCACTTCCAACAGGCACCGCCATTCGTGACTTTATTTGTGATGCCCAATTGCAGACCGGCTAAGCTATTTGCGGCACTGCCGCAAGGCGCGGAGTAGGGCGGCACCAGGCTCTCGATCTGTCGGAACGGTTTGGAGAGCACTCACGACATGCAGCTTACAGGTAAGTCGAAGACTGACCCGGTTTAAAGTGACAGTCGCAAGCAACATGCAACATCATCATGCACCGTAAACAGGTAGCTCTCTCTATACGATCATTGACACAGACCTGCAAGAATCATCAGTGAGCTGGTCTCGGCTCCTCTAGCGTGCCCGCCTCTCGAGCTTGCCGAAACCAACCTTCGCGGGGAGCGCCGCACCTGAGAGGCTCAGAGAGGGGCTCACGGAGTTCCTGTGCCAAGGGCGCGCCCTTCGCTGGCAAGAGCCGAAGCGAATCGAAGCGGTCCGGCCTTGGGCGACCGAGAGCGCCGAGACCATCTCTGCCAAACCTGCACTTCGACAATGAGCATCAGCGCAGTTGACACCAATCCACATCCGAACACGACAGATTGTACAGTAAGAAAACTTCAAAGACTTGATGAAACGAGATTCCCTCCCTGTGAACCTGCTCGTCGGCTCGGAAGCTGTCTGGGTTCCTGTGGCAGCACACGAACAAGGCATCACCGACTGGCAAAAAAATGCGGCAGCCACGACCAATGTCTTCACAACCCTGAACCCTCCCACACCACTCGCAGCATCTCGCAGCCAAGCAAGCTGCATTACATGCATGCTATATCATGCTATTGCAGCAGCAAGGAGCCTCATGGCTGAATCTTGACTGCGACCTTGGAAATATGCCCCTCATTCTCCAGTCTTGAGTGTTGAAGATTCTCAGGCGCCGGCTCCGCGCCACTGGATTCGCTTGTGCCCCCCTCACCAACTCAGATAATGCTTCAAAGCGGGCAATGTTTCCAAGTGTACCGCACACGCGATAATAAAACATCACTGGCGAACCTGAGAGGAGGTGCATCATTCTCGTCGTAAGACTCACCTGCAGCAGGGCAATTACGGCAACTACTGCATTGTCTCCTCCTTGACGTTAGCCTTAGGCTCTTCTAAGCTTTCTGACAGATGTTCTTGGAAACTTCCAAAGGGCGAGGAGTCCAGCTCAGCCGCGAGCTGTTCTCGTAGGAACTGCTGCCTGGGTGTAACCACAGACGGTTTACAACTAAAGCTCAGAGCCATGAAGAGACGACGACTCTGCAAACGAATGGAAGCCCCAGGCGATGGTCCTCGCGCCATCTTTCCCTGGGGATGGACCTTGTCACGGCATTCGCTGCTCTGCGACATAGCAGCCATATCCCATAGAATGTATAAATCAACGTACATCGAGGCCCAAACTTCGCTGCCGCTCCCCGCAGCGGACCTACAATTGCGCAAAACACACGCACTTGTAGAGACGATCTTCGTGTGACCCGCAATGCAATGGCAACTGGCAAGCAGTTATGACCTAGGACTCAGCCGGCCTGGTGGCAGGGCCGCAGCGCCCGGTGCACTCGCTCTGAGAAGGTCTCCACCGAAGCCTTTCTTGGGGACTCGAGGTTCCCGATGCAGCGGATCTGGGTCGTCTGCACCGTGTCGGAAATGGCCGTTCGATGCCGAACCGGCATGGTCAAGGGCGAGGTCCTCGTGAGAAAATACCGGATTCTTGAAGCAAACTGCAGAATCTGTTCAGACTCAACTCCCCGCCTTGGGATTCAGGTGCGTGCCGTTCGGTTCGAGGGGCGGCCGCAAGAGCTGCCTAGTCTTCGCTCTTGAATCACGGCCACGACGATGTAATGTAAATCTTCCATAAGAGCCCGGATCAACATTATCTCATTATCGATCTGAGTGCACCACTGTGGTGGGCCCACGGGGTGCAGCAGTGCCACCCCAGGCGGCGGCGCTGGTGGCTCCCTGCATCGGCATCGTTGTGCGAGGAAGCGCCGGGCATTTCTCGACCTGCCTCGTCGGCTCCTCCACTGCAGGGGCCTGCCAGCTGTCGCTCTTCGTGCCTGACAATACAAGCTACAAGTATGCATATGTGCAGCTCTAGACAGGCTTAAAACCTCGGCACAATTACAGGAAGACTCTCCGCGACAGCTGGCACGCTTCAACAATTCCAAGGGCTCAGCGGCTCAAAGTTACCTCCGGACATAGCTGACCTGTACAAGACGTGCATGTCTGCACATGTGGTGGCTTTTCCAATCGTGAGTCACCAGGCTCACAGTCTCTAGGCAGCGCTGTGCGAGCTTCGGAAGTTCTATCATACATTCTTGCACAGGAAGTAACTCTAAGCAATTCTTTCGGAAGGCTTCTGAGGCATCGACCAGGAGGCCTGCGCGGGAGTTGACGTGAAAGAACTGTAATGTTGGGACATGCAAACGAGAAGGCCTATGGACATCAAGACTTTCCAAGACAGTTCGTCGTGCTCTCATCCCACATGCTTCACAACCAACATGATCAAAATCCGAAGCGGCCCGAGACAGGTCTGAGGCAGGCTGGGTCCTGGGTAGTGACACCTGACTGTTTTGAGTCCTGCGTCGCTTATTCCGGTGGCCATCTTCACGTCTGCAGCGCATCTGCCGCGCCGGACTAACAAAAGAATTGACTTCTTCAAGGACGCGAGACGTCGTTGCTGGAGGGAGTTTGCAACAGGTGCTACCAAAGATCCACTGGTGCAGTGTATTTCAGGGTGACTGTCGAGCTGCGCCGCTCGTTCCTCAATCAGTTTGCAGCCAGTCTGACACAATGTCGGCAATTTTTGCAAACAAAGGCCATGGCTTGCCGGCAAACAGAAGGATGTGAAGCTATGCAACTCCTTCTTGAGACATCGTGACTTCTGCCTTTCCTGCAAACCTGCGGACATAGGTTTCCTTACATAGCTGAAGCTGCATAACCTCACAGCCTTGTTCAGGCACTTCACGTCTCCGACTGCTAATCCAGGGCCGACGCCAGCAACCGGACAAGTAGCAAAGGCCCTAACGAAGCGCAGACGATGCCATTCATGGGTGGTATGGTCTGTGAAACCTGCATCACCATCTCCAGTGGGCCTGTTGGGACAGAAAACGACTGATCTCCTCATCTACCCTGCATTGACATGCACATGATCTCCCCCAAATGTCAGAAAGCTGACTCTGCTCCTTGAGATCCTGGTCGCGGTCACTGCAGCAAGCTGGAGATCAAGGCCTTCACCTGTGTCATGCTTTGCGGCCCTTGCAGATGCGCTAGGATGACTCCGCAGCCCCGAAGTCTCGAGGCTTCAATAAGTGCAAGCTCTGTCTCCGTAGTCCAGTTGCCGTCTTTAGCATTGACAAATTTGCAGCTTTGTGCTTCCAAAACTACGTCTCCGGTTTCCAGTCTTCCATAGCACAGTACCGCGACAGTACACCTAAAGTCTTCCCATTTTGTACACTAGCAGCTACTAGCATGGATCTTCAAACGCTAGGAGCTAGGAAGATGATGTGCGAGAGAATTGCACATCAGAACCCAAGAGACCGAGAAAGTGCTTGAAAGCTATGAGCAGCAACCAAAAGTAATCCGCGAACTGCTAGGCTCAGGCGTAACGGCTACCTACACATAAAGCTTGGTAACATCACAGGAGATGCATCTGTACTACAAGCTCCCACAAAAGTGAGACTCTGCCTCCTCAATGTCCACATGCATCGAAAGGACAGCCTTGTCCTCAGTCATGGGGTCCTTCGCAACTTTTCCGCACCAGGTAACACTGGACTGATTTGGGTCTAGGTTGATCCACTGACCCCTCAAAAAGCCGAACTTCAAGACATTAGCCGGTGCTTTGCAGGTTCATCTCTAACAAGCCAACAAAGCATTGTGACCCAAGAAGGTCCGCCGCTAGCTGGTGGTCATACTCGTTCGGCATGACCTGACGCGACAAAGGTCTTTAGCACCTGAGCTAGATGTGCTGAGAAGCCTTTCTCGATTCTACAAGCTACAGCATCCGCTATCCATGACCTGCAATATGAAACCCAGTTTGCACAGGACCTGACTGCTCGCACTCCCTGCAACGCGCCTTGTCACCGACGGGAAGGTACGTGAAATTCAAGGCTGCAGCGAGGTCCCAGAAGTGGTAGTCTTGCATCTTGAAAGGAACCTCGTGCAGTGGGGTTTGCCAGGGTAGATCCTACGTCCTAGGTACAGGTTGAAGCCATGCCAGCCACGTGCCTGAGGCACGATCTCCACGACCTTCATGCCATCCGGCGCGAAGATCATGTTGGCCATGTTGGCACCATGCGCGCCCAACAAGATCTGGCAAGGAAATGAAGGTTCTCCGTTCTTCAAAGGCAGCATTGGCAGCATGACGCGAGCTATACGCCGTCATTCCACCAGCCTCCGCTCTCGACAGTGCTTGCAGCGTATGCAAGAAGTTCTTCGGATCGGGAGTCACAACCTGCGCCCATGATCATGCATGGACCCCGATGCACGCTTCAGCACACGGTTCGGGGACACCTCGACATGTCTGCCCAAGGTCTTCAAAGCCTGCGGCAAGGGCAACGAGGCTTCGCAACATCATATTCCGACCATTGCCGCTGTCCCACCTGGACCATTTCATCCTCGTTGCCAAGAGCTCTAGAGCTGTGCCCACGAGAAAGGACCTCAGCTTGTGCTTCATTGGTTCACCTCCCAGCGGCACACAGGTTGTGTCTCGTCAATGCCTGAGACTTTGGCGACTATGTGACCTCGATTCTTCAGTCTGCACGGCCTCCACAGGTTGCCAATGCGCTACACCCGGTGCTTATAGACTTGCAACTCGCGCCCATCAACAGCTGCAGCACGAGGCCGAACCTCACATCCTACAGGTAAAGCTGCGCGTGCTCAGTAACTAGATGCAGCCGCCCCGGGTATGTGAAGGCCAACGGGTAGGCCTCGACAGGTCCCATGACAAAGGCCTTAGCCTCCTTATCAAAAGCTGTCGGCGCATGAGAGAGCCCGACACGGAAGGCTTCAGAGAGCCCTCTGCAGATCTGCAAATATCTCTACTGAAAGCTCCCGGAACCGGACCTGTTGGATTCATCCATCCAGTCGTCCATGGATAAAAGGTTTCTCCGGAACTCGGCCAAGTACGGCACCTTGGTTGATGGGGTATGCTGCAACACTTCTGCAGCTTCAATATACGCCGACAAACATACAAGCAGTCACAGTGCGAATCACGCATGTTCTTGGTGAAGTGCTTTTTAAGCCTTTTTACATATTTCAGGGTTTCAAGGGTTGTGGGGTGGGTGGGTGGGTGGGTTGGGTGGCGGGCTAATAACGGTATCTTTACCTCAAACAGTGGCATGTAAGCTTCCATGTTGACCTTGAGATACTTCTCATCACCTCAACCAATTGTGCTCTGGCGAAAAGCCACAAGACGAGCGAACCTCTTGTGCGCATTGGGACAACTAGCGAAGGCGGCGGCATGAGCAAAATCAAGACCTGTGGCACTTCAGGCAACTCAGAACTACTACCTCTAAAACTCTATCTCACATAAAGTTGTGTTTTGCAGCCTCTTGAAAACTAAGCTCAAAACGCAGGCGAAAACGCAGTTAGGCCCCGAGTTATACTTCAGCCCCTAGTGTTTCACGCACCTGCCTGGACTGCAATTCTTCCTGAAATTGCTCTCTCGCTGTGGTTTCGCACGAATCCCTGTAGAATTCCTCATTCTGAAATGTGTTAAAACGCATAGGATGCATAGGCGCGCACTGGCGCCGTTACCATGTTCTGCTGAGGCAGGGACGGAGAACTCGAAGCGCGGGTATTGCGGCCTTGTCAGGGTCAATGCGTTGTCTCTGGTTTGTTTCGTCTTCTGCATGTCCGGCCTGGTGGAGAGATCAAAATGGATTTCTGGCGCACAGAAGTGGAACGCCTGCATGGGCCACTGGTGCCGCAGGATCAACCACGCGAAGTTTGGATATAAGCAAGCACCCTCGATACGCGGGCAGCCGACTCAAGCATGCCAGCTACGATTCTGAAACCCTCTCTCGAACGCCTCTGTCAAGGAGGTTGGTCGGAGGATGTTGCCCTCCACACCGAGAACTGACCTCAAGCCCGTTGGAATGACAACCCAATGAACCGTTGCAGAGAACTCCTGAGAGCGCGGCAGAATTTGCCCAACGAAATTGTGGCCGGCGTGGATGAACAACTGGCCGTGCTCTCATCTTTATGTTTGTACGCGAAGCTCAGCCGGCGTGATTGTGCATGGGCAAGGTTCAGGGTCCTAGGCTGCATCTGAGCGGTGGAAGCGGATCCCAATGTCAGAAGCAAACCACTTTTAGTGATCAAAGACGCTCTGGATGGTTCACAAAGGCTTCTTTTAGAGATGTTTGAGGCCATTGATTGCCGTGCCATGCCGTATTTCTGGGCCGATCGCCCCAACAGGGGAACTTGCGCACGTGATTCTGAAAACATGATGGATACCGCCTCCATGGTGCCGTTCCGCAGCATGTCCAACCGTGGCGCAATGGATGGGAGTGCGCTAACCAACATGTGGTACACGCCGTACCTGCAGTCGCTGACCAATTTGGCTTGCTGGTTGGGGGATCCGGAAGAAGGGATGAGCCAGGGCTGCGCATGCCCTCCTACAAAACTGGCACCTGAGGTGCCTGAATTTTCTTGCACTGCTGGAAGCATCCGGGTCCCGCACCACACGTCGAAGGTCAGATGCAGCACGGGGAACTCCTTCAGGGACAGGGCACTCACAACAAATAGAGCAACCGAACACCCCCCGTTGCAATGTGCTCGCCGATTCGACTACATCCACATGGACAAGCTGTGACTGTGACAAGCATCTGTGCATAAGCCCGGTCCCGCTTGGGAAGGCCCACTTTTTGGGAGTGCTCGCGGAGCCTCGTCAAATTGACCTGGTTGATTGCTTTTGAAGCTTCGAGAAGCAATGGACGCTTCATTTGAGGGAAGCAGACTCGAATAGCTGACATGTCACATGGCCATTCATTCCCGTGACGGAATCGCGGTGGCTTATCTGCCACGCACCTGATCGTTGATGACCCGCGGGCAGAACTCCGGCGAGTCCGGGCAAAGCCTGAAGGATCGCTACACTCCGAATTGAGAAAGATTAGCCGTAGCCCGAAGACCTCAATCTTTAAGCACCGTGCACGTACGTCCGATTGTCTTTTCGTCGGGCGTAGAGGGCCCCATCCTGGCTGTGCTGAACTGGAATGGGTAAGCCTAGCGATGTTCCGCATCAATGCATGCTGCATCCTGATGCCTGGACACGCAGAAGCATGTTTAGCCGAGCCTTCTCTCCAGGACCCAAGAAGAAGCATGCATCCTGCACCACAGCTATGAACGGTATCCCAGAGTCACGTGTTACCGTCGCGACACGTCTTACAACGCAACAAAATCACAACACAGCGATAGTCGAGGCAAGCTCACTCATGATGAGTGTGTTCATGTGCATCACCATCATCCTAACTATAGTAAACATCAGAACAACTGCATCAGCAGAGCTCTCCTTGAGGGATCCGCTAATGACGTGTGGAACTGGCATTCCAAGCGGCGGCCCCCACTTGTCCAAGTGTGGCCTCGTGACACTTAACACTATCACTGATACTCCCATTACCAGTACTAGTTACTAGCCAGAACAATGATAGGTACAACACCCTTTGCTACTGTCATGATTCACGCGCATACAGTTTGCTATTGCCACGGCGCGTTGCTATTTGAGTGTAGTTGCTCGATGTGCTCGCCAGCTCATTACCCAACCGCGACAGTGGAACATGTGTGTTTGTACAAATTGCGACTTACCGCTTGTATTGCATTGCCATTACCAACACGACGACCAAAACGACGGCAACGACGATGCTTGCGACGACGACGACGACGACGACGAAGACGACGACGACGACGACGACTGGCAACTGCTACTGCCGCTCCTGCTCCTCCTGACGACTGCGACTAAAACTACTAGTACGATTGCGACTGCGACTACGACTACGACGACGACGACTCCTACTACCAGTACTACGACAACGACGACGACCACTACCGCTACCACTACCACTACCACTACCACTACCACTACCACTGCCACTACGACTACGACTACGACTACGACTACGACTACGACTACGACTACTACTACTACTACTGCTACTTACTACTTACTCCTTACTCCTTACTCCGTACTACTTACTACTTACTAAGTACTACGTACTACGTACTACGTACGGCGTACTACGTACTGCGTACTACGTACTACGTACTACGTACTACGTACTACGTACTACGTACTACTACTACTACTAGTACTAGTACTAGTACTAGTACTAGTACTAGTACTAGTACTAGTACTAGTACTAGTACTACT